GTTTCTTTTTTTTCCCTCGTAAGCGATCACACGATATCTTAGCCGTGATGCTTGGTTTGAAGAAGATTTGCCCAAAAGGCATCTCCATCAGGCCCATGGCGACTGGCGCCGCTCACACGCCGGGTGCGTGGGAACAAGCAACAAGCAACAAGCAACAAACAGCGAGCAGCCTCAGCGAACCACATGCTCATCCCAGGAGCTGCAGTCGCAGGTTGATGCAAGTGGCACCGGCTGTGACGAGGTGTTCAAGCACACCAAGCCTTTTGGTGCCTCGAGCCGGACTCAGATCAACCTCAGCTCCACCGAGCTATTTGTACCATCACCGATCTCTGTTGTCGGTCTTCCCATGCACGTAGCGAGTCGATGGCAAGGCAGAAAGGCGAGAGGACGTGATATCTGCCGGTGTGCACAACAACCGTATGTCCTGTCTAATGAATATTCAGCCGTGACATCAATCAACCGTCATGAGTATCCTTCGTCCATCCTAGCGAAGATGAACGTGTTTGTCGCATGTTCTGGGCTGTTTGAAGTTCGACTTACCGAATCGTGTGTCAAAATGTTAATTTTGATTTATTTGTTTTTCCCTTTAGTTCTTCCTGCCTTTTCGCCTTCCCACTTCCCGCCCATCAATCTCGAGACTTCTCCGTCTCGCGCGCGTCGTCCCGCTTATGATGACCCTTGTCGGCCATGGCCCATTACTGTACCTCCGGTGCTGAACTTGCTGATGAAGCCTTCTCCATGGCTCATCGTCCCATCCCATGCTCATCCCTTCGCTCCACCTACGACCCTACACGGTAGCCTTCGTCTAAGCTGTCGCCCTCTTATCGTGCATCCTACCGCCCGCTTTAAACCCACACAAGTCATATCATCCGCCTGCAGCACTCGCCCGCCCCTCCCGCCCCAATCTCATCCTCGAACCCTTGCCTGCGTCGATACCAATAACGTGGGCACGCTGCACGCCCATGGTGAACCCTGACTGCACTGGCCGTCGCTTGTGGACGAATGAGTCGCGCCCTTTGCAACTCGTGGCTCTCCCCATGCTGGTTTGGGCTGGTGAGGCACTCGTCGACGGGGTGTCGATTGGATCAGCTTGGATCAGCCTGCCCCTGCAAGCCATCCGTCACTTCCGTGCAACAAGCATTTTTATACTCTGGCCTGGCCCTCTTGCGTTGGTGCTTAGCTACGGTCCGTCCACTCTCAAGCTTTGGCCAATCAGCCGAGCTGCCTTGGCTGTCGTCAAGATCGTTCCTTATTTTTCGGGTCGCCTCTCCGCTTTTCTACTTTCTAGAAAACCGCACTTCGGCTTCCCATAAAACCGCCCCGGTACCCTTCTTTTAACTTTTGGTTTTCCCCTCTACCCAACACCTCTCAGAAACTCATCACCACTACCTCCTTGACCTCCGCCAGCTGAGCCCTGTATCGCTGTTGTGATCTGTCCTGGGGTATCCTTCCCTTGATTGATATACACCATGGCTGGCAACGGAGAGGACGAGGTCACGAGATTTGGGCCCAACCCTCCCCATGGCCCTGATGTCTCGGGCACTCATGCTCCCTTTGAGGACCCTCACCTGGACATGACAACAAATGAAAAGGACGTCTTCCGATACCTCCTGAAGCCCGACGACCTGTACGACGAGAACGGCGTCTACTGGGCTGACCTCCCCATCATCAAGCGCGTCAAGTTCGTCAACAAGGTCAACAGGCAGGAGACCAAGCGAGAGTTCGCCGCCTTCTGGCAGATCTTCAAGAACGACCCCCTGGCTCCCGTCGGCTTCTACCTGCGCAACATGGTCCTTCCCGGGGCTGGTCTCGGTCTCGAAGGGTACGTGCTCTTCTCCATCGGCAACATCAAGCCTCTCTTCCAAGCCGCCTTCCCCGACTGCTGGAAATCCAACAAGATTTGCAGCAAGACCTGGATCAACGCCATCGACTACCTCGAAATCTGCGGTATCATTTGTGGTCAAATCCTCGTCGGGATCATTGGTGACTGGATCGGTCGACGTTGGGGTCTGATCCAGGATGCCACCATCATGTTCATCGGTCTCATCATGCTGGTCTGCGCCTGGGGTGTCACCCAGAACGGATGGGTCATCTGCTACGCCTGGTCTCTCTTCTTCTACGGCATCGGCGTCGGTGGAGAGTATCCCATGACCGCCACCTCGGGTATGGAGAACGCCGTCGGTTCGGGCAAAGTCTCGACCCGAGAAGACCGTCTGCACCGAGGTCGCAAAGTCGTCAGCGCCTTCTTGATGCAAGGCTGGGGTCAATTCTTCAACCAGGTCATCCTCATCATCCTGCTCTTGGTCTTCCACCACGGGAGCGGCAATGCCCCCTACTCCAAGGTCGCTGCCCAGTACACCTACCGGGTCTCCTTTGCCATCCCCGCCGCCGGCACTGCCTGGTTGATCTACTTCCGTACCTTCAAGGTCAAGGCCGGCGCCAACCGCCAGTTGAGAATCGCCAAGAAGAAGAGCGCCGTCACCGGCTACGACGTGGAGTCCCTCAAGTTGACCTTCTACTACTTCGGTGGTCGTGTCATCGCCACCGCTGGCACGTGGTACATGAATGATGTCTTCTTCTACGGCAACAAGTTGTTCCAGAGCGAATTCATCAGTGTCATCATGCCCCACACCAAGTCCATCATGCCCGGCTGGCTCTACAACCTGATCAACGTCGGGGTCTCGCTCTGCGGCTACTACCTCGCCAGTTTCTTGGTTGACAACAAGCTCTATGGCCGCAAGCACATGCAATCTCTGGGTTTCTTGATGGACTTTATCTTCTTCATCATCCCCGGTACCCAGCTCAAGTACTACACTTCTAAGGACCATATCAAGGAGTTCCAGACCATGTACTTCTTGTCCTCGTTCTTCCAACAGTTCGGCCCCAACTGTGTCACTTTCCTTGCCGCCGCCGAAGTCTACCCCGTCGCCGTCCGCGCCACCGCCCACGGTTTCTCCGCCGCCGTCGGGAAGTTGGGCGCCTTGACCGCCGCCGTCGGCTACAGCTACTGGTCTACCCAGACCAAATTCTGGGTCGTCCCGTGGTTCGGTCTGGCCGGTGTCGTCATCAACGTCCTTTTCATGCCCGACACCACCGGTCTCGATCTCAAGGAACAAGAACGCCGCTGGGCCTACATCCGCGCCGGTCGCGAGAAGGACTACCACGGAATTGCCATCCACCCCAAGCATCTGAGCCTGTGGGAGCGTCTCCGGGGAGTCGGCAAGCCCTACGACCCTGAGCTCGACTTCAAGCAGCGCATCGAGGAGATGCGTGGTGAATGGGAAGCCCGCATGCAAGCGAGGGCCGAGGAGAAAGAGCTCGACGACATTGCCCATCCCGAGGATGAGGACTTCCACTCCGAGGTCTCGTCTTACTTCAAGCGCTCCACCAAGTCGCCCAACCTCCAGGGCATGGAGAATGAGAAGGTTCCCGACGAGGTGGGGCTGCCTCCCCAGAATGGCGCCAATGGTATCTAAACTGGCCTTGTTTGCCTCGGATTTTGGACACGGGAGATATGCGACACTAAGTCAGGGGGAGGAGTGGACGATGCGGACGCCTGTGACAACCAAGCCATTCTTTGCACACCGTTGGGGAGGGAGCAAAAGCAGGATAGACATTCTTCGCTAAAGAACAAGCGTGCGTCTGTGGTGTGTTGTGTTGCTGCTGTGAGCGGTAGATGTCATCATGGCGCACGACTGGATTCTGTGGACGTAATGTGGATGCGTGTTGCTTTGCGTGTGTGTGAGAGAGATTCTCCCCCCCGGAGCCCTAACCAACAAACCCAGCTCGTAATCTGTGATAAACCATTCTCTTTCGTCGTTTCTTCTCTTTTCCTTTCTTGTCTATTGATACCATGGTTCTAGGCCTGATAGCATCATATACGAGTATACACTGGTACGGAGTACTGGTAATGCAAAAATGACGAGAATAAACTTGTGTGTGTGTGTGGTGGGGGGCCGCAGCCAATGAACTCCCGACTATCAACCAACTGAGTGATCTGACGATGGAGCCGATTGACAACTGTCTGTCAGGTATGACAGACAGACTCAGCTTGACGGCGAGACAGTTAGAATGCGCAATAGATTCAATGACTGACTGACCAAGTGATCAACGATTGCTAGACTCCTACTTAATCGACCTTGTATATACATGGGAAATCGCACGGGCAACCGGGTCAACCAAATCGAGTGATTGGCCCTACAGTCACTCGCCCCAGGGAGGACAGAACAGAATGCAGAATACGAGGTATACACGCCTCATCCCATCTGACAGGAGGTGATGGACGGACGATGAGGTCCTAAGTACTACTCTACTCTACTCTATAAACACACAGTGATGATAATAACGGGGTCGTTAAAGGGAAACTGTTTCAACACCGAGCTGAGGACATCTCGTCTGTTTTGCTCTGCTCTGTTCTGCCCTGCCTTACCCTGCCCAGCGCTGTTCCATTCGAGATATTTTAGCTCTACATACAGCCTATACTGTTCTTTTCTTCTCTCCTCTTCTCTGCTCTTTCTCTTCGGGGTTAAAACTCTGGTAAACTCAGCCAAAGCCTATTACTTGGCCGCCTAACCGACCCCAACCTAACCCAATTCTGATCTACTCTGCCCCCCACTCCACTCCGCCCGCCACGCCCCGCTTCACCCCGCCTCTCCGCAGTAAATACACTTGATACATGCCGCGTGGCATATCATGTATGCGAGTGATGCAAGAGACCGTGGCGGATACGGAACACTACACATTGCGCACTACACAGCACACACAACGCCTACTCCTCCCGTGCTGTCCCGTTCATACGACTCACCGCGCGTTCTTGCTCACAGATTACCTCCAGGGACACGCCGCACGGAACATCCCGATGGCACTGTCACGGAGATGCAATGGACAAAGATCATGGAATGCCCAAACAGGACATTTCGATTCTCTCATCTAAATTCTCGTTATCATTGCATGGTCCAACTCTCCGACTGTTGTCCTTTCCCCGTCACCCCTCCCCTCCCCTACTCCTCCTCAGACACCCATTCCTCCTCCTCTCCCCTCTCTCTCCTCCTCTCAAGTCCTCCCACGACCTCCCTCGCCGCATTCAACGTCCCCTGCATTCCCTCCAACAGGCGCATCAACTCCGCCTCAACCTCGTCATTCGAGGCATTGGCGGACATCGCGGCCGTACTGGGAGGAGATGCAGGTGGGACGAAGGCGACGAGGGCGCCGTGGGCACCACCCGCAGGAATCGCCGTGGCATTCGACGTGACGGAAGAGTTCGAGGCCCGGTGGATGTTGGCCGTTGCCGGATGAGAGTGAGTAGGGCCGGGAAAGCCGTCTTCGCCAATGCGGACCGGCCGACCCAAAGCATAAGGCGCCGGACGGGGGCCAGAAGCCGTCAACGGAGTGGTTGTTACCGAGGAATACCCGGCAAGCATCGTCCTCCCTCTTCCCGAGTAGAATCCACCCATATTAACGTCTTCGTCCATTGTAGCAGGCCCCGGATGATCACCAGAGTCATCGTCGTCGCGTTCAAGGCCGAATGGATCCACGTCCGTAGACGAGGCCGAAACGTCACTGTACGCTTCAGACAGGGCGGTCGACGGTCGAGGGATCTCCTGTTCTTCAGCTTGTGCAAAGTCGCCGATCGTCACTGGCATGGTCATTTGGCGCATTAATGGGGCCGGGCGAGTGGGCGTCGGTCTCGACGCGGCAGGCTTCTGGTATGTGATAGTGGTGGGTGGAGGAGACGATTCCGCAACTTCTTGCTCTTCGGAGTCTTCGGCAGCTTTTGCTTCAGCCATGGCCGAAGAGAAGGACCAATCCATTGTATTGTGCTTCTTGGTTTTTTGATTGAAGCTACCTTCTGCCTCGGTCGCTTCTTCCGACGGGCCTGGGAGATCATCACCAGTTGACTCCTCTTCGGACGGTACGTTGATTTGTGGGATTGTGACTGCGGCTTCGGACATGGCGTTTGCGAATGACCAGTCCATTGTCGCGTGGCCAGGCCGAGAAGATGTGATCTCAGCGGGCTCTTGCAGCTCAGGGGCTTTGTTTCTGTTCTTAACAGTCCAGTCCTCTTGAGACATTGCAAAGTCATGCGCTGACGTGCTTGGAGGGGCGGCAACTTCAGCAGACGAGGCTCTTCTGGCGGTTAGAGATTGGTTATTGGGATCCCGCGGACCTTTGGAATTGGCACGCTTCTCACGGAGTGTAGATGCGTCTGCAAGTCTGATGGTCTCTTCTCTCATGGGCGTGGCGGCGTAAGCAGTCTGGATTTTGTCATCTGTTCTTGGTGCAGCTGCGACTGCATAGTCGGCTTCGTCAAAATCTCCTAGATCAATGACGTTGGATGCGATAGAGCTGGGCCGGTCCTCTTGCATGGCTCGAAATGGTAAGTCGGATATGCGACGTTGCTCGGGAATCGGAATGAAATCGGTTTTGGTCTTGTATTCGTAGGCAGGCTTGTTCTGGTCAAAAATGTTCGAGAGGTCCGCTCCTCGCTTGACACGGGCTTCAAAATTGGCCTTTTGAACTGCTGTCATTTCTTTTGGGGATGAGAGACCACCAGGTCTGGTTAACCCCTTGGGTGTTAGTTCTCCTGACATGGTGTCGTCGGGAGACAGGTTCGAAAAGTCAGGTATCTCTAAGATTGCAGAGACGCGTTTTTCGAAATCTTGAGTCATGCTAAAGTTCCATTCATCTTCAGGGTCAATGTCGGCATCAGGACCTTGGGCAGAAGCAGCCGCCGCGCCACCAGGCATGAATAGAGAGATTCTTTGGCCACCACCGAACAGCCATGCGTAGTATGTTTGAACGAGCTCGGTGAGCATACTTGTCGGATGGGTCCCTTCGGTGTCTTTGAGGAGATCGTGTTGTAGAACATCCTTCATCGATGGTCGCATGGCGGCATCAGGAGTAAGTGCGTAAGAGACAAGAGAACGTAGACCATCACTGAAGTCCTCGTTCTCCGGGAGAGAGATGGCCTGCTTCAATCGTCTCATCCTCATCTTGAGTTGTTGGCGTTCACGGAGGTCGCTATTTGGCGGCCGTCCCATAGCACATTCGTAGATCGTGCAGCCGTATTCCCATACATCTACCTAGAGAATGCGTTAGCCTTGACCTCTATCCAAGAAACACTCGTTGTTCCGCTGCCTCTCAAGAATATGAGAACTGTGGACCGCGGGCGTGACCGCGCCCTTCTGGTAACTTACCTCGTCTGAGTACTCCGGATTTTCTGTCCACAGCTCCGGCGGCATCCAGTGCAAAGTTCCTATGAAGGTCTTTCGCTTGTCTGTTTGGGTGTCGAGAATTGTAGCAACCCCAAAGTCACACAGTTCAAGGCGACCTTCTTGGTGAATGAGGACGTTGGCAGCTGGAATGAAGACAAAAAGTTACCATTAGATTCGTGCACCAAAGGGGAAAGAAGCTAGCTTATACGATATAAAGGAATCAGACGTACCTTTCACATCTCGGTGCATGATGCCTGCTTCATGGAGACCTTTTAGAGCCTTTGCCAACTCTCTCGCGACAATGATGATGTACTTTTCAGAAAGTCTGTCGTTGGTAGCGCGCATCTACAGAATCAAAAAATCAGTCACACTCGCGCTTTTAGAAGACCAGCCCAAGGGGTCTTGGCAGGTTTTAGCGATGTTGGCAGGCTCTCATTGCCTGGGTTTACAACATGCCTCTCAAAAGTCACTGACCAAAGCGCGGACAATCGCGGAGACTTACCAGGGTCTTGACACTACCGCCAGGGCAATATTCACACACCAACCATAGCTGGCTATGCACGGGCAAAGCTTCGATCATCTGGTTGAGATTTTCCGCTCCACTCTCTTGAGCTTGTCGCAGAATACGTATTTCCCGGTTGAAGTCTCGAATTTGTTCATCTTTATGGTCGCCAAAGGCATGAAAGTCGGCTTCATCGATATCAAGGACCTTGATAGCAACGACCTTTGACGTGGAAAGTTGACGTCTGCGCGAGGCGTTAAGGCGGGAAACTTCAAAGTTCGAAAACCCTAAGAATGGCTCACCCTTTGTACACTCTACCGAAGCTACCTTTACCAATCAACTCATCAAAAGCATAGTCAGGCTCAAGCTGCTTGGATCTCTTGCACTTCTCCACAACTGCTCGCTGTTGTTCCTGGGCAAGACGGACTGCCTCACGACGGTGCGCAGTCATAGCCGAAGCTGATTCTGGATGAAGACTATCCATCGTGAAAGTCGCACCTACTCGACGTCGTTGTTTGAAAGTTTTGGTTCTCTTCAATCGCGTATCAGATTTGTCCGCTTCTAGACCGGATTCGAGGATTTCAAGTGTCTTCTTGCGGTGTGCGATGATTTCAGCTCTTTCTTTCTCTTCAACTCGTGTTGCAAGGCGATACTTGGTGGCTTCGTTGAATGACTCTTCTGAAAGGAGGCGTCGAAGAACAAATTCACGGGTGAGTGGTGTACACTCTGGTTCTGGAGATTCAAGGACGGCTTGGCAATCTCCGGCAGCAAAGGTCTTTCGGGGTCGATCTTCCGCTTCGGTTTGGGCCGAAGTTGCTGGAGGTCTAGTCTTTCGAATCCGAAGAGGAGGGGGAGATAGCTCTTCCCAGAGCGCTCTATCTTCTTCTAGTTCGGGGTCAAACCTTACAGCAGAAGTTCGGCTAGTGTCAGTGGGGTCACGCGAAAGCGGAAGGCCCGCTGGTCGAAGAGGTGACTTCTGAGGAAGTGGGGGAGGCCCTGCAAGTCCCTCACTGCTAAGTCGGAGCGGCGACTTGACAGGACGAAGGGGAGGTCTGGCAGAGCTGGAATCACCTGATGATTGATTGCCGTGCTTATGCCACCAGCTGTCTGGTCGGAGAACTCGTCTTGGCGCACGAGAAAGGGGAAGACCAGAGTCCTTCTGGTTGAGCGGTGTTGGAGAAGACTGTGATGAGAGACTGGATGGCGAAAAGTCACTCTTACTGTCCCTTGCTCCACTTGTAAATGGTGAAGAAAAAGCCGAAACGTCTGGTGGAGTTGCGACCGCAGAATCTGGTGTCTCTGGGAGATGCTTGTTTGCTGGCGAAGGATTTAGGTTGCCGAGACCTCTGGGACGACGTGGAGGTCTGCTGGGAAGACGTTCTCTGCGAGAGCCTGTAAAGGAATGGGAATGTCCGGATCGAGGGTGGTTGGTATATGCGTCACTTGCCGATCTGGACGAAGATAGCGGACGTGGAGATGTCTTTTGATGAGTGCAGTCCTCTTCGACGGCAGTGCTACTGTACGGAAAGGCTGTGTCTTGTTAGCTTATCCCATCTGTCTGGGTCCCGCGATTTCTCCGTGAGATGCGCGTCATCTTTCTGGTTGAATTCCCCGGCGCCGGTGACGAGGACGCCAGTGAATGCTCATTTGGACGACGGGATGACTTACGAAGAGGTTCGGGAGCCTTGTCCTCAAGGGACTTGTTCTTTTTATCACCTGGAGACATGGTTATCAGTGACTGTCGAGATGGGCCAGTAGGTGGATGAGAGAGAGAGTGGAAGCATTATTGACATGAGGAGCGAGGATTCTCCCATGTCGGCTCTATTGCTGTATGGTGAAAGACTTACCTTGCTAAGGCGGCGGAGACAGTGTTGTTTCGTTCACTTGGTAGAACGACCCAAAGGCGTACCGCACTGTCCCAAACTTGCACAGTAGCACAAGTAGTGCCTATACTTTACAGCACAAAGACAAACTGTTCGAACTGATCTTTTACTGGGCCATCGTTACTGAAGACTGGATGTTGACGGGGAAGGCTGTCGTTGGAGATATCATCCAGCTTGAAGCCCTTCTCAACCACACTTGGCTTCAGTCTAGACAGGAGCACCGCCAGCATCCTTCCGTCGTATACTGTAGTGGTAGTAGACCGAGTTCTCGATATGTGGTGGCAGCGGTCGAGGCGATACAAGTATGTGAACGACCACAATTGGAAAGAACGACAGCGTGGAAAAGGGGAAAAGCTTGGCGACGAGGTGCTATACCTAAAGATTACTAGCGTGCACGGATCATCCAAGCCTTGTAATGACCTTCACGAGGCTGTGACGTTATGATGGGACAATCGATGGGCGGTCCACCTCTGCTTGTTCAGCCTACGTTCCTCACGGTTCTGGTAACTACGTACAGAGGTGAGCCTGAAGCAGTTAGCACACAAAGAGTTCGGGCTGTACTTTTGATACTACTGCAAAGAGTGGCAGCACACCTTGATCGTATATTACTGCCATAATCGCTCAAAACCCCATTCGCCTCCTTGGGACTATGGGTTTCTTGACCACTCCATGACTGCCCATCTTCTTAACCACGGTTCCACCACTTTTCCCTCTTCCGATCAACAGTCGCTCTTTCTCTTCATCTTCCTGGCGCCTTTTCTCCTCTCTTGCTCGATCCTCGGCCATTTGTCTCTCGATCTCCATCTTACGATTGAACTCACTCTCAATGATCCTCTTATCCTTAGCACTATACTCCTTCGACTTCAGGCTGTAGAAGACACCACCAAGATCTGCCAGCCAATGTGGGTCCACGGCTGTGACACAACTCATATACTCTTTGCTCGTCAAGATCAGTTCGTGGTAGACGACATAATCGGGCGGATCTCCAAGCCCGTAAAGAGCAGAGGTGGGATGGAGTTGGACAGTGACGCTAGTGCGCAGGTTGATGTATTCTCCAACCCCTCGTCGACGGGCGGCTTGGTGATAATACCCCGAGCATATGCACTTCCGTATGATATCCCAGTCTGTTCCACACGAAACAAGCTCCATTTTTTGCTGGCCAACCATGATGTCGTGCAGTTGCTCTCGAATCTCTTTTGCACGGCGCAGTGCTTTGGGATGTAAGAAGTGCCGAACACACCAGCCATCACTGTACCCGTTACTTTTCCACTGGGTGTACACGTGCAAAAGTGTTAGATGGTCTGACTCGTGTACGAAGAACTTTTCTCTCGCAGCGTCTGACTCTTCTTGCCTCTCTTTCGGCCTGTAAAATACCGATGGTACAGAGAGCATACTGACAATGCTGAGCATCTCCTCACTGCAGCCGTATTCAATAGAGGATGTGATGAGCATCTTTGCCAGTGAGGGATCCATTGGAAATGCAGTCATCGTGCGGCCGATCGATGTCAGGTCACCAACGTGGTCCAACGCCCCGAGGGCCCAGAGGTCGAAGAGAGAGGTAGTGATGGTGTCTTGCGGCGGAGGATCCATAAAATCGAAATCCAATAAATCTTTGACACCGAGTGACTTCAGGAGCAGAACCGTGTTTGCCAGATTCGTCCGCTGGATTTCAGGAATCGTTTGGATGTACAACTCATTCTTGAAAGCTTGCTCAGTGTACAGATGAAATGCTTTGCCGGGTCCGGTGCGGCCAGCGCGTCCGGCTCGCTGGGAGGCATTGGCTTGCGAGATCGGAGTGATTTGTAGCGTATCCATTCCCATCTTTGGATTGTAGACTTTCAATTTCGAGAATCCGGAGTCAACGACGTACATGATCCCATCCACTGTCAGAGAGGTTTCCGCAATGTTGGTGGCAACAATGACCTTACGGACACCGGGCGGGGCAGGATCGAAGATTTTGGCCTGGAGATCCGCAGGCATTTGAGAATATATCGGCAGGACCATGAGTTTCGGAGGGTTAACTAGCAGGCGAAGTCTCTCTTCAATCAACTCGCAAGTCACTTCGATGTCCTCCTGGCCTGTCATGAAGACGAGAATGTCGCCAGTGCCCTGGGAGACATGAATGGAGAGGACCTGCTTGACGGCGCTTTCAACGTAGTCCTCACACGGGGAACGCGAGAACTGAATATCAACGGGGAACGTGCGGCCAGGAATGATGAATTCTGGCGCACCTCCATAAAAGCGAGAGAACCTCTCCGAATTCATGGTGGCAGATGTAACAATCAGCTTCAAGTCCCTGCGTCGGGCAAGAACCTTCTTGATCAGACCCATCAGGACGTCGGTGTTGAGAGCACGTTCGTGAGCCTCGTCCATAATGATGCATGAGTATTTGTCTAGATCTCGTTGAGTCAGGGATTCTCTAAGCAGTACACCATCCGTCATATCTGCACCACGGTCAATAATGTCGTTCAAGAAAGGAAGGGCGGAACTCACATTTGATCACCGTCTCATCGCTTGTGCAGTCTTCAAAACGAATAGCATACCCCACAAGTCCGCCCAACTCGACTTCCATCTCCTCGCTCACACGCTTTGCGACGCTCATGGCGGCAACTCTTCGGGGTTGTGTACAACCGATCAAGCCATGCTTACCGTAACCATCTTCATATAGGAATTGAGTCAATTGTGTCGTTTTCCCTGAGCCGGTTTGGCCAACGACAATGATGACCTGGTTGTCTCGAACGACCCGCATTAGCTCCTCTCTGACGGCAAAAGCTGGCAGGTATTCTCTTTGCTCCTTTAATGTCTTGCTTTTGCTGAATGCAGAGCTGCCCGTGCTCTTCTTGAGATGAGTTGCAAATTTGCTTTTGCCGCTGTCCTCGTCAGGTGCCGGAGCAGCGCTGTCACCCTCATCTTCCCTCACACCCATTATATTGCCTAGCGTAGTGCCGGCAACCTTTGTGGCTTCCTGAGCCTGTTTCTGTCGCTCCTTTTGCTGACGTTTTTCTCTCACAACCTTGCTCCCTTTCCGACTAAAGACGGCCATATCACTCTGAGGGTCCCGCACAGCTGGTACTGGTTCGAGCTGTTTTGTAAAGATGGTCTTCCCATCCAGAAAGGGAGGTCTGAGGTCATGTACCAGTAGATGTACCCTAACCGCATCATCATCATCGAAATCTTGAACTTGGTCACGCCTCTGTGCAACACCGGATGTAAGCATTCGGTTGGCCTCCCAGGCGTCAACCTCCTTCTGTTTCTGGGCTGCCTTGGCCGTCATTCTCTTGCCCAACTTCTTGTCCAACAGCGCCTGTTCGCGTTGCTTGTCTGCCCAGGTAGCATCTGCACCACCGAAAGGATTGTGCGCCTCATCGCCAAAAGTGTGGCCGAACTCGTCTCCGGTGTACCAGTCGCGGTCCATAGCTGCAGTCTCCTCATCATTGAAGAAAGGCTCCGGGCCATCAAACTCTTGTTGGTGTGGCTTTGAGTGGTGCAGACGGCCATGACCTCTGTCAGATGTTCTCGCGAAGCGCCCTTTCATTCCATGTTGAGGCTTTAAGGATGGACCCAGATCTTCGCTCGAATCGGCCTGCGCAGAATGGAAGCCTCCTGCCAGTTTCCGCCTCTTTGGACTGTGACTGCGCTCCATTGTTGGGAGGAAAGGAGTTATTGGGTCTTGAACCGTATGACAAGGCGGTAGGAGGTGGCAGGAAGGACCGAACCCAGATGTTGATCCGCAGAATTATTAGTACCTGCAGAAAAAGTTCCCCCGGGGTTTATGCGAAAGCCTTGCGCGAGGCTAGCGCACCACCACCAGCACTGACCATCAAACTTGCATCCCCGCATCCGCAATTCGAATCTCAACTTTTGGAACTCTTCCGTGTCGATAAAATGGCGTCTGGACAAGAGGCAGCTCTTAAGAAACAGCAAGGTACCCAGGCTCCGGTCCGTTGCATGCGTTTACTAAGAGAACACCAGACCTCCAATCGCAGTACACGAACTACAAAAACACCCTCCAGTCGCTTGCGCAGAAGGTAGGCGAGATTGAACAAGAGATAGAGGAACACAAGTCAGTCACATCCATCTTGTTTCGACAAGTCTTTGGGTTATGTTTAATTTTCAGACAAGAGATGTCCAATACTGACAGTTCGGCTATGGGTAGACTCGTCATGGAAACACTTGAACCACTCCCTCAAGATCGCAAATGCTTCCGACTAATAAACGGAGTCCTCGTCGAGAGGACTGTCAAAGACGTTTTGCCCGCCCTCAAGACCAATTCAGACGGACTGAAGCAGGTCTTAGAAGAACTACTCAAACAATACAAGAGTAAGCAGGATGAGATGGACAGATGGAAGGCGAGTTTGTGACCAATGTCTTTGTTGGACATTCGCTGATGCATGAATACAGAAGAAACACAACATACAGGTTGTACAAAACCAGTAAAGGATGTATACAAGGGCGTTTCGGAAATGCGGTGGATACTCTGGCGTAGAGATAAAAGACAGCTCCGGAATTCAGGCTGCGAAAAGAAAACACAACTCCCATGCTGGAGTCAAACTAATCACGCAGGATATGTCGAACCTGTGAATATGAAGAGGTCAAAGCAAGGTGTGGTCAGGTCATCGTAAACTCGATCGGTGACTGCTCATGCGAATGCGAATGCGTGTCTCGCTGAGGCAGCTGCGAGCCTTTTCATTATAACTCGGTTGATCGTTGCCTTTGACCTTGATCAACGACACCTCCCGTAAGTCAACAATCCACGACTGCGGCTCTAATCGCCCACTATCTTCTTGCTCTGTCTTCTTCTTCTCAACCGACCAACTGGCACCTGATTCACATCATTGTGACCTTGTTGTTGCCGCCTCGACGACAACGACACTCGACAATGGCGCCTTCCGGGGTCATTTGGCCTCCACCGAACGACAGCGCGTACAAGAACCACTCCAACGGCAACTGCTCCCGCACCGCGTTTGCCATTCCTCCACTAAGCAGTCGGCCACCGCTATTCTGCTGTCCGGTCGCAGAGAGTAATCCAGCTCACTTGCCTCGAAGCTTCGTCAATCCCGGCCGCCACTTGATGAATCTTCAGCTGCGATCCTTCCTCGAGTGCGCCGACGATGCAGACTACAGCTTTCCGAAATGCGAGGTATCCCACATTGTCGAGGTGACAACGAGGGCTCTGCACAACGATACTTTGCCATCTCATGGTCGGCCGGCAGAGCAGCAATGGAACGTCCCGGGCGAACTCAACAACACCTCTCTGAAATCATGCACTCCCCCGCTTGAAGAGAGCGAGGAAAGCAAAATGGCTCTCGATGAGGAAGAGTTGGGAAGTGCAGAGATCCCATACAGTACATATGCGAGCATGTCGACCAGATACTTTATCACTCAGAACAGCTACAAGGCGTGGCAAATCCCGCCCCATTCTCGATCTTATCGAGAGACCCACCCTGAGCCGAACCCGAGCAGGGCGAGCATCGAGAGATATATGGAGATACCACCTTTCAAGACAATGCCATACACTTCAGAGGGGATTTCGGGAGGAGCAGGCGCTCGACCATGGATGCCGTCGTGCTCCATCTTGATGTGGTGTACCAAGCACAACAAATTCTACGAAGTACACGTGTTGTCTTGAGTCTCGATCAGAGTAACGCCAGGATAGATACATATCTAGCAGGCAGACAGCCTCACCAGCATCAGTATCGGTCAGGGACGGGGGGAGAGTCGGCTCTGCTCAGGCCGCCGCCTTTATTTTACCGCGTCGACCCGACAGAGGGATGGAACTGGTATGGTATTTGCGATTGGGGCTGCGACCTTTCACATCCCGTGGACATAGCTTCAGATAGCAGCTCAACGATGACGAAATTGAATCCACCAGTGTCTTTCTTCTGACCGTGAGGCAGAGTGAAACCTACAGTAGGTTGAAATGGCGTGCTTCGTCGTCCAGACAAGTGCACATCTATTTGTGCGCGCGGGGAGCTGGAATGTCCGGTGTGAAACTAGACTACGGAGGAGGTGATCCCAGTATTGTCCGTCACTCCAAATCTGATATAGCTGCAAGGCTAACGGGATCGCTTTCTCTCACTGGTAGTCGCCATGAGAAGATCGGAGAGAAATGACAGAGCCGGCTGATGGGGCGATATGTACTATTACATACTGTGGTACCATTCTCAGGGCCCTAAAGGTGCGCTTGTCTTGCATCTTGCCGGAGCCGGCGCTGAAGAGCTCGACTACCTACCTTTGTACATACCTAGGTAATAGTGCAACAGGTCCTCTGCGTCGATTTTGATCACGGCTACGCTTTCGGAGGAATGCTGGCGGCCTGAACATGGGATGCAAAAGTGCATTGTGCCCAAGCATCACATCCGTGGCCAGGAATCTCGTAGACAGAAGTGGTGTGATGATATTCACTTTCAAGACTTCGTACTGGGTATTCTGTGCTAAGATAGGTACAGTAGGTGTGGTAAGCTACCGAGTACTGGTGGTTAGTGGTTGTTAGGTGCAATAGTTGGCTCGCTAGGCAGGCCCGGTACCTGTGTCATGCTGTGTCTTGGCCCTACCCACTACCCGGTACGCAGGATGTGCTCGCGAGGAAGCTGCCAGGGTTCGGTTCGAAAGCCGTTGTCTCTCCAATTCCTCTGCCACAACCTGCTCAACCCTCCACTAAATGCCGCCCCCTCCCCCCAGCCGGCCTCAACCGTGCAGTTCTGACGGTCATCAGTCTCTGCTTGAAACCGCGCACACACACAACACGCACCACACATCTGGATGAGTTTCGAACACGCACACAAACTCCAAGGACTGCCCCGCTCCCGTCCTGCAGCTTGCCTGCATCCTCTTTGTCGAACACGAGAAACTCGTGAGCCACCCGCACCAAGAGTTGCAAAGGAGACAGGTCCAACGCCACCTACCACCAATGCCTCGGGCACACTTCTCTCTCTGACTGGTGCTCTTTCTCCTCCGCGCCACGTTCTGCTCGCTCCGTCCGTCATGAGCGACAACTAGCCCCCCTTGGCTCCCCCATCAGGGTCCATCGACCAGGATCCAGCGTTCATGGCGCCCCCAAGCTCCAAGCTCCAAGCTCCAAGCTCCAAGCCAGTACTGGGTAAGCAAGGGTACGAGGCGCTCGTATCATACCTTTCTACCTACCTTGGTCAATGGATGGGTCCAGAAGCAAATCGGCTGCTTCCCAGTGAGTCATTCGCCACTCTCCCGGGTCTCTTTCCCACGACGCCTGATTCGATTCCATACAGTACCTACTTATGCTCTCTCCCTCTCTGTAAGGCCAGCGGTCGCAGGGAGACCTAGGAACAGGGGGACCGAGAAGAACATCAGAGAAACTGTCCACACAAAGCGCCTGCTCTGAACTTGCTCTCTTACTACTGGGGGTTTGCTGCCTTTTGCCTCTACCAAGTAGGTAGGTACAGTATCTACGAGTCGCCAGGGATCCCCAGAGACGAGTCTATCCAAGCCACAAACCCCACCTCAGTGGCCCGTCCCATTCCCATTCAAAAAAGAGTTCACATCGTCCCAAGCCACCGACCACTCATGATCGATACGGATGGCAGTCAGGAGATCTCCATGGGCGAACGACAATCCTTTCCTTGAGCACACATTCTCGAATACCCTTCGATTCTATGCGGGTATCCATCTTCATGCCTAGTAGCTTCTGGCCCTCTAGTCCATTGGCTGTCTACTGTAAGCCCGCCTAAACACCCTGCAGAACGCTGTGTTCGCTTCTTCGCACCAAAATCCTCCTGTTGGCTCCTCATCGACGCCACGCGGCCACTGGCATCCTTGTGCGCCGCTCAAACCTCAATCGACCGCCTAGCACCCCCTTCGGCGTTTCCACCTACATAGGCGCTGTGAATATCTTGTCTGGCCTGCCTTTCCTTGCAACCTCAACTCCCTGCAAAACTCCTTGTCGTTCCTCACACTCGTTACTCCAGGACCCAGGTCAGGTACTCTAGGTGGCATTGGAATCTGAGCCGGCAGGATTTCAATTTGTAAACTACATGTCCTGCAATCTCCTTTTTTGCCTGTCACTCTTTTGAAGACTCGTACAGCATCTGGATACTATTGAAACGGGCAATAAGTCACACAGTCGACACTGGATTTCACATCCTTTCCCTTCGGTCACTTGATTTTCCAACTGGAGGAAGAGCTTCTTTGTCTGTTCGAGTACTTTAACGCCTCGCTGGAACACCGAGAGTGGTGACTCGTCAATTTCCATCCAAGACAGCCTCTGGGGATCTGCGGCGCATATCAGTGAAGGTCAGCCCGAGAGTAGGATCATTTCAGCGAGGCAGCAAAACTTCCTATACTTCGATCTCTGTAAGCAGTTCCAATTCTCCACATATCCTTGTCTTATATCAGGGCTAATACTTCATAGACCCCAAAATGTACACTATCAACTTGCTTTCTATATGGATCACCATCTCGCTGTTCGCTATTGCTTCCGCAAATCCGATCGTCAGGAAGTCGCTCAATCCCAAGCTCCTCGGCATTAGATCACCCCTCACCAACTCAGCCTTTGCAGAAGACTGGCCTACCAATGTTGTCATGGTTGGAGGGTCCCAGACTTATGGCATGTGGGTCCCCACGGATGGAACCTGGTACGATTTAGGGGGCATCGAGTGTCTCGGCTTGCCTGCATATGCGATTGGCGACTGCAACGATATTACCATCGACCAGATTGGAGTCGTGGCAGGATACGGACCTTGCAGTTTCGTCGGCAAGAACGGCTACTCCTCCACCATTCCAGGCAATCCTGGCGACGGCTACTACACGGTCGGCCCCCCCCAGAACATCATGTCTGCTGCGTGTGGTCCGGCATGATTCGATCGACCTCGTGAGCCACACCAAGCCTCCTATCGCGACATCGAGGCGACCTTTTTCACGCGAAAATGAAGCACGATAATCGACCTCGTTGATTGGCATATGATCCTCCTCCTTCTAGCAAGCCACACTACGCGCCTCCGGTAGTGATTCAACCTCTAACATACGCTCCGACCTGGCCCAACTTCGCCCATCAAGGACGACTGGTTCGACAGAGCAATGATACATTACCATCGTACCTTAGTTGCGACATAAAGGGGGACGAAGCAGACTTTTGAATTGGGGAGCAGATCCAGCGGCACGTCAAGGGATTACGGTGATTGAATGACTGAATGATCAGCGTCTTCAGGGTCAGTTGCCGAGGAAACAATCAGCCATACAGTGACCAGGCACTCGGACGGACGGACAGATGGAAACGGACATCAAGATCTCACCAATCCAGCTCCCCCCTTTGGATACCCAGTTAGCAGAGGAGCCATCCAAGCCCAATCAATGCTCTGATCCAAGTTTCTCCATCTCTCTCTCTCTCTCTGTCTTTCTGTCCCTCCCTCTTATCTCTTCTCTCTCCTCCTCTCCTCTATTCCTGCGCATGTGAGCACGCGGATATTCCCCAGTGTATATGACCATTAGGGTCCATAATATCCAAGCACACCCAAGTCTCTCGAGAGGTAAGCGGCAAGCCAAGGTCGATTTGAATGGACATGACTGGCCATTCCTTCATCATCTGGACGAAATATAACCATGGAACATTCGTCGGCGTGCCAGATAGTCAAAGGACAGGCATGAAGCGTATATATGTTGGGGGAACCGCTGACTCTCCCTGGCCACTGTACCATCTGCTCCATATATATCTCTTTACATGTCTAAAGAGTCAAACATGGTGTCTGCCCCCCCACCAAAAAACTTTTTTTTGATGGAACTAAAAGCTATTATTTCATCCCAGGGGGATATGTGTGCATGTATGTATGATTCCGCTCGAGGTTGAAGAATGGAAATCGACTGTGTACGTATGTCTTTCCCATTTAAGCTCTCGCGTCAATACTGGAAATAATACATATCCCAAGAAACTCAATTCACCTTGTCTCTTGGTTGTCGACTGATTTGGCCAGTTACGTACCATTGTCCTCAACCCGTGTTCCTGCTCGTATAAACGTCCAAACGATATACCCAAATACATCTATGTACATCCTTCACGACAAGCTAAAACGGGCTCATTGACCCTTTGCCTTCTTCTCCTCTTCCCTCACAACCTCGCCAACCACAATCCGACACAGCCATTCCGCCAACTGTTCCACACTCCAACTCCACGTGATCTCGTCTGCTGCATCCGCTCTGACCTTGCGTCCCTTATACCACCCGTGGCTGTATTCGCATTCCTGCATAAACCGCTCGAGAACTTCACACTCCCCGTCCCCCACCGTCCAAGCGAACTCGCCCTTAACGAGTCCATTGGCGCTTTCGTCAACCACCATCTCTGCTCCTCTGAGTGCCCAGATCTCCGGACGAATCATCGCGCGAGGTGGGGGGTGGAATTTGGGACGGAGCGATTTCCGGTAGATGATGTGGAGGGTGCGGAAGTGAGTGTTTGAGAAATTACCGTTAAGAGCGAGTGGTTTCTTGACCGACCGCAGAGGATCAGATGGGTAAGATGGTGGAGTGAGGTATGATGGGATGCTGTGAGTCTTTGCTTCGGTCGTCCTGGACATCTCGGTCGACGAAGGGATTGAGGCTTTGGTTTTCTCCCAACCTGAGTCATGAGATTGCTCTCTGCTTTTGACGGGGCCGCGTGAGGACGTTGTAGGCTTTATGGGAACTTCTGGCTGGTCCACATCGAATTGCTCTTTGGTCTGTGAGTCGCGATCTGAATTTTGTTTTGATCCCCATATCCAATTAACCCAGCCTCTGCTGGGATTGGCGGCTGAAAAGTCGTCTCTGGCCTCAGTTTCAGCGCTCGCTGTCCGCTGACTTTCATTGTCTCTCGCGGGAAGCGCTGGTTGACCATCATCGTTTTGCCTGGCTTCCGTTTCGATCGCCCGTAACTCTCGATTCAACTGTAACCCAACAGAATCCTCAAAGGAGTCGTCATTCGACGATCGCATACTGAAGCTGCTTTCCTGACCGTCAACATCCACTCCTCTAGACCTCTGGCTAAAGACGACTTTTCTGATCACGTTTGTAGCATCGGGTCCCGCAAACCCTAGTCCCTGATTGAAGGTATGCCGAGAGCCTTTCATTGCAGAGCGAGGTGTGGGTGGCCGTTCGGGGGAGTCATCTCTCGTTTCGCCCCAATCGCGCCGCTGTGCTCGGGGTAGGTCCAGTGGTGGAGGTGGCGTTGACATCGATATTGATGAATCGTTGAAATTGACAGGGATCTTAATAGGCCGAGGAGAAGAATGGGGAGATACGATCGATCTAGAGATGTCGTTCGTCGAGTCCTCCATGTCTAGGTTGTCATCTGCAGTTGTTGCTCCGCGCTGGCTTTCAGGACTGGACAGATTCAGCACAACCGGGCCATCTTCTTCTACGCCGTCTTCTTCAGAGGCGACCATATCTGAGCTATCCTCGATTCGGTTATCGACAGCCTTCTTCGGTGTGCCAGCCATAAGATCGACGTCGAACTTCCCGCTGTTCCTCCTGTTTCTCAATTGCTGTCTCTTGATCTCGCCAGCGCCGAACCGGATCTTGCTCTCGGGCACATTATAGAACATCAAACTGCTCGCCTCAGCATCGGTGGATAAGAACGTACTTTGTTCTGCTGGAGCATGAACATCCTCGCCCCTCTTCCATGGGCTAGGTATCAGGCTTCTCCGAGCTCTGCTGACAACTTCCTGCGCCCGTTGTCGCTGCTTGATTTGCTCGCGGCGGGTAAAGAGGCTATTGGTGCAGGCCTGGGCCACAGACTCTGGACTTGACGAATTCTTGGCCTCCACAAGCCAGATATCTGTTTCGTCATCCGCTTCAGCCTCGATGTCAGGATACGCTACTTCCGGTCTGTCTGCAGTTGAAATGGGCTGCTCTTCCTCATCATCGCTGTCAATCACAATAACTTGGCTTTCGCTTGCGTTTTGGATCTCCTGGGAGACCGCCTCCCTCTCTAGTTGCCATTCTCGTTCTCGTCTTGCTTGCGTGTCGATTATTGAATGCTCTGGATGCTTCTCTGCAGGATTCGGAGGTGTATGTACCGTTGATACTTTATCGCTTTGTTCTGTGCTGCTAACTGTATGGACTGGAGTGTGCTGAACCAAGTTCTCTCCTCGCCATACCTGCTCACGGCACTGCTGTCCAGAAATCACTGGGACTTTCACGTCGGAAACTTTATCGGATGCTAGGCTTTTAGCTTTAAAAGAAGTCGGTCGATCCACAGGATGTAATGCCAACCTCTTCGCGAGCTCTTCACCAAAGCGAAGGCCGGCTCTCAGCTCGCGTTGAGTTCCACAGTCAAAGCCAACGAATAGAGCGCCATTCTCGTTCACCCCGGCATGATTTGAAGGAGTCTCCTGCTTTACTACCGGCGCGCTCTCGGTAGGATGATCTGGCGACACCACTTCTTGCAATGCAATGCCTGCAAATACGGCGCCGGCTGAGGCACGATGTTGGTGATGCGGAGTTCTTCGGACATTATGTCTTGGTGGTGATGGCAGTTTTGGTGATGAATACGGCAGCGGCGTTACCTTCCGACCCGCACCAGTTGATGATGAGGGGACTTTTAGAAGAGCTTGATCCTTCTTCGACGCTGGCGGGGATGATGGGACAGTGCTTGATAGCTCACTTTCATCTGGCCTAATGACAGGATAAGAGACCGAGTCGCGAGTTGCGGAGGGATTCGAAGCTGCCAGGTAGCTTTTTGCTCTCCCTGAAGGTTCAGCGATTAATGGTTGTGTCTTGCATTCGTCTATATCCGAAGGATGAAGGCCGCTGTTTGGTCCATCATCAGCAGGACTGCTCAAAGATCGTTTCACTGATGGCAAAGTATCCAGATCAATCATGGTAAATCCCTCGCTCTCCAGGATTGTGTCAAAGCCATCATTTTCATGCTGCTTTGGAAGAGTCCTATCATCAGGAGCTCCCCGTACGTCGTCAGAATCTCCGTGGCGGGAGGAAGTAGGTGATGGGGTTGGATAGCTCAGCGCGCTGTTAATGGATACCTTCCGAACTTCCATTTGCTGCTGCACGGATGTCCTCATCTTTTCGCTTACAACCGTGTCTTTATTTTCGTAATCATTCTCCACGTTAGACTTTGTCGACAACGCCCGAGGTCGTACCGACACTTGGTTGAGATTGATTTTGCGAAGCTCTGGTGACTGGGATTCTGCCATAATATCCCCTTGCTCCATAGACGCATCACTGTTCTCGACGTCTGTATCTGGTCGCACTTCAAAGCTTGAAGACCTGGGGTTGGATTTGGACGGTTTCGACGGAGAGTCGCTTTGTCTTGCAGTATTTGCTTTAGAGGTGCTCTTCCGTGAATTCCTTCTCTTCCGTGGCGACTTCTTCTGTTTCAGCCAGTCGTCCTCTTCCGAATCATCTCCTAGCGGTATTATGTCCAGGTCCGTCACGCTCTGTCTCCTGCTGCGACTAGAATTCCTGCGATCGCTAACTGGTGTTCCGCTTCGCTTGTTCTTTGTCGAATTTGAACGCAATTTCCTCCCTTGCGCAGAAATATTGGACTGTTCAGCAGGAGGGGATTCGGGTTGTAGTGGTATTTTTGTCTTGCGCGCTCTCTCCTTGATCAGTGGTGCATTGCTTTCCACGTCCGCGTCCTCTGGTTGTGCCTCCACTGTCACCCGAATCTTCCAGGGACTCAAATTTTGTTCTGACACGGTTCGAAATGGGGAGGATTGGACGGCCTCGCAACTGAACGAGCTTGTTCTCGCAGGTCTGCCCGTGTTCGTCGTTGTGGCGGTGGAGGGCCACTTCGGCGCGGGCTGTCGGCGTGCAAATGCTATACTACTATGGGAGGATTCGTCATTGACAGAGGCTGCTAGTGGATCAGGGGAGCTTAAGTCGTCATTGCCGTAGGAAGTCATGGAGGGTGATCGGGACATTGTGTTTGTGCGGGAGGGAGAGGGGGGGCGCTGGTATGCACGGGTTCATCCGTCGACGGTCAACGATCAGGTATTCGAGCTCAACATGAGCATCATAAATGAGTTGTCTTCAAAAAGCCCGCAGAGTTAAGTATTTGTCTGTAATTAATACATACGCTCGGTGGCCGAATGAGGAATAACCCCCTATGTTGGCTGCACGAGGTTCTAAAAGTTGTCGCAATGGATTGTTTACTCTCATTGTTTACAATGACGTTATCCTGCCACCTTTGATTGGCTGCGCAGAGCTCCTCAGCCTCGCCTCCACACCGCCATACCTGGTACCTATCTAGGTACCATCCTAAATACCATCCTAAATACCATCCTAAATACCATCCTAAATACCATCCTAAATACCATCCTAAATACCATCCTAAATACCGAGTAGTATACTCCATGTACACTTCGCGACTCCGCATTCCATTCTCAAAATGTCGAGAAAGCATATGTTGCATAATTCACTGCCGGTCCAGTCGTGGGTGAAAAGATCTCATAGTCGCTGACGCCCCATTCAGGATGGTTAACACCGTCAATCCAGGCCTGCGTTTCAATCACAATGCAGCCATGCTGATTCACAAATTTGGCTGCACCCTGCGTGCCGTTGTTTCGCTGCTGCTGGCTTCGCTTGACTGGAATTGTACCATTCTGGCCATTGCAAGTATATATCTGAAGACCTTGCTGGTTTGTCGACACGTCCATTTGAATTCCCGTGGTTTCCGACCACAATGCAAGCACCGGGTAATTGGAGGATGTCGGGCATGCATTGGCTGGTCTGTCCAGGATGAAAGCGTTATCAATTCCCGTGCAGCCTGGGCCGCAAATTCCCCTGGCGTTATTCACAGCATCTCCCAGCAGCTTCGGGGAACGGAAGTTCAAGGCAGGCGCATTCGAGACAGAGCCCAGAGCCCCTGTAGGGATCAGAATAGGGTCCACAACGATATATCGATCGGCATACGGCATCCACAAGGTAGTATCATTCAAGATTGTGGCTTGTTTGAAAGCATTGAGATTCCAGTAGATGTGGTTTGCCAACATGATAGGCGTCTCCTGATCCAACGCCGAGGACACCATGCTGCTCGTCAATCGCGGTCTTACTTCGCCCTGCGGACCACTGGGGAAGGTGTCCAGGGTGAAAGTGGCGGTTGTTAAAACTGTGCCTGGAAAGCCCTGAAAGCCAGTATCAAGTAAGCTGAATGTGATGCTCGAGACCGAAGAGGCAATCACAGTCCAGTTCCGTTGATCATAGCCAACGGTACCTCCATGTAGAGTGTCGGCACCGGCATTCTCATTCGCCGGGATGTGATAGGTCTGGCCGTTCAAGGTAAATGTGCTGTTTTTGATCCGATTCGCGTACCGGCCAACAACCGGGCCAAAGTAGGTCTATAGTACCATGAACCTCGCGTCAGTAATCGGAACAGAGCAATGGACAAGGCAAGGATGAGCGTTAATATCGCGGATCTCAATTTCCCTGGCACGACTTCTGACAGGTCCAATGCTTACATGATTTGTCTCTGTGTCTGTCAGATGCTGAGTGGAATTGTCGTATCCGGCCACAATGTCTTGATAGTCGCCGTTGCGGTCCTGAACCAATAGTGAGGTTAGGCGAGCGCCATAGGGGATGAATTTGGCGGTGATGTTCTCGGCGGTCAGAGTGTATACGGAGAACGGGTAAGCTCCGGTTGGCACAGAAGAGTTGGAGCTATTCTGAGCTAGAACAGGCAAAGCAATTGACCATACCAGGACAACTTGGAGCAACGGTGACCACATTTCGGCAGAGAATCTCATAGCTGGATTGTTTGCCGAGACGTCCAGCAGCCACTGAAAGGCGGAAGAGAGCGAGTAAAGGCAAAGGGAAGCGGAGGGGATATATACTTGGCTGGACATGTACGTGAACTCGGTCTGTAGGTTACATGGTAGTGATCCATTCTAAAACGCTGTAGCAAAGATGGGAGGAGGATGATGTTATGGTGGAGCTGCATGCCCTTCACCAGCGGCAGCTCATGCCTGGGTCCTAATCAAGCTTCATACAGTAGATGGTAGAAGCTGGAGGACCAACTGCGGGGGGGGGGAAGACAAAGGACATGGTGGTGGCCCCGTGGTTGGCACTGTTCTGCCTTGTTGATCTGCCCAGATCCGGGGTAATCAATGACACCTGGCTTGTCGATCATGGTATATTGATTGGTGTTTTGGATTGTATCTCTCGGTCCATTGTGCGCCGGACTTCGGAGGGAGCGAGGGAGGCTCCTCCAGGCTACCCACCGGCATCTTGCCTACTTCAGAGACTGTGTGTGGTGGTTCAATACATGTATGTTTGTTCAATGCATCTAGATTCTACGCCAGCGCTTTCCCCGCCTGCAATTCGGTAGTATCAATGATCTATTTTCCACATGGCTGAATGGGCCCCTCTTCATGTTCATCCCGAGTCAGTCCTTTGTGGTACATTCCAATCACGTCCGATCTCACTGTACGCCTGCAGTCTTCCTCGGATCCACATCGACCAGGTGAATGTCAAGATACACTGGCCAATCCGGAGCCAAATTGCTTCGTGACTCTGACAGCGGTTTGAGTGCGTCCTCGACGGCCCTCTTGTCCATCTGGCCTTTGGGCTGGCTCTCGATTTGAGCAATCTTCAAGAGATCCTCTTCGAGCTCTTCGGCCATTAACCGGCTTGGTTGTGGCAGAAATGTGCCTTGGCGTCCTTGATGAGTGTGTAATGTTGCATATGGCAGTGCTGGGCGCGTTGCCGCTTTCTCGGCCAGGTCACTCAGGGCATTGAGGCCACTCATGGCACCTATTGTTCGAGTTGATCTTGTGACATGCACGTTCTGACTGGCTGACCGGTCCATCTCGGGAGCTTCGAGTTCTTCGTCTTCCTCTGACCCTGAGTCGGCAGATCCTCGCTCTCGGTCATCGTCAACTTTTTGGCGCCTTCTGGTGTTGCCCGTTTCGCCTTCCTTCCGTGACGTCGAGAAGAAATGACGAGCAGCAATTTGCGCTTGGTGCGACTGGAAGTTGAGTTCTTTATCAGTGAAGAGTGAGTGGATGGAATACAAAGGGGCGGTTTGATTCGCCAACGCTGCGCGACTGCGCTCTCCGGGGGTGGAAATGCCATTGCGAGACGGGGAGCCGACGTCATCGTCCGCAAGCTTGCGCTTTCTCTTGCTTGTGACATCTGCAACACCATTCATATCCTCTTGCTCACGGTGCCTGGTAAATCGTGTCTTTCGGCTCGTGTGGTTGCCGCCGGGACTTGCTGGATTGGTGATGCTGAACTGACTTGGATGAAGGAGGAGTGCATTCGTGTCCGCAATGTCGAGTTGTTCTTTTTCTTTCATTAACCGCTGTCTCTTGCTAGACAGGGCTTGGAACAATCGTTCTCGCAGGGTTGAGGTCATATGTTCGCATTCTTCTGCGGCCAGATGTAAGCGGTAGTCGCATTCATATTTCAATCTCTCAAGGCGCGCATTGTGATTGTTCTGCACAGCGGTCAGCATCAGAATCGAACTGATCAAATCGAGTATTTAATACCATAAGTTGTATGAGGGCTAGCTCCTTGGCCTCCTTCGCATCGTTGATCTCATGGACGAATTCGGCATACCATTTGCCTGCCAACGAAGACATTTGAGATTGATATGGCGTACCAGATGCAGCCAACTCGGCAATTCTAGCCACCTCTTCTGGTGAATCTTCCAGAGGCTCAGGTTCATAGGGGTCAGCCTGGGAAATGAGGCTCATGTCATGCTGCAGAGCGATGAGTTGCTCTCGGTAGTGCTGCTCACGATTGTTGTTCAATTCACTGTGGAGCTCTTGCTGGTGTGCAACATGCTGGTTTCTGCGCTTGTCTCGCTTCGACAGTGGTTGCGCAGGAGGGGTTGGCGACCGACGATGGGAGTATGCGGCTCCTTCAGGACCAACCAAGGGAGACGCGGGGGAGGGCGAGTACGCCATTCTGAGACGAAGTTGCTGAAAACAGATGCAAACTTGCCCTCTGGGCGACCGGCGAGAGATGCAGAAGTGTGTCTAGATATATGATACCACTTAGAAAATAAAATGCAGAAGGAGCAGAGGAGATGCGATCTGGGGTTGACGCACAGTGGGTTCTCCAACGGGCCCAACGGCATGGACGCCGCGTGACAAAGGTGCAAAACATGGCAAACACGACAAATGTTTTCATTCATCCTGAATCAGTGGCGACAATAGGAACCTTGGGAGCATTCACTTCAATGCGGACTTTGCTACCATTGTTCTCCCTTATTGTAGCTCCTATTGAAGAAGCAAGATCCTCTCAATCAACAAGTCCGCTATTTGATCGATTGATGCTCCATCTCTTTATGCAGCTCCCCCCGGCCCATGAATCACCTTCTTCTCCTGGTGACTCTTCACACTCCGGTACCTTGGCCAGCAGCGACCATTTGAGCATGTCTGGACAATCCTTTCTCTCAAGCATGTCCTGATCCTGCATTGTGCAGACAAGAGGTAGGACCTGGTCTGTTGAACGTGGCATTCAGCTGCTCTCAACCACAACCGGGCTTGCCGCATCACCAATGCGCTCGCCTTCCATTGTGAAATGCGGATTTTAAATGCAGACGCCTGCATACAATTGCTCGAGCTGGCAATAAGACGGCAAGCATGTCGCCAACCCTGGAACTGAGTGTGTCTTAGGTGAGCGTTCAGACCCATTACAACTCGTGTTCAAACGCCCGGTCGTGGAATTCGAGGCCAATCGGGCTTCGTCACACCTCTCACCGCTCCAAGCTACCTACAAAACCTTGTGTTGGCCGCCAGCCTGCAGGACTCGGCAGCCCCGACCCTCCGGCTTCATACCCCTCGAGCCCCTCCTCGACCCTCGAATTTGTGTACATAAGCATCGCCAGGTATCTCCTTCTGCTTGCCTGACCTAGCATCTACGAGGCTGAAGGGTCGAACTGTTGGAAAGAGCAGGTGTTAACTTGTCAACTAGCATAGCCAAATTTCTACGGCACACTTTGGTGGGCAGGAGAGCATTCACGCCGCATTCTTAACACTCCTGATCCCTCACTTTTGCTGTTTGGGCCCTCGAGATCTCATTTGCACATCATACTTCAATAACTGCTGGACATCCTATTTCATACATCATCAAGATGACTGTAACGGTCATCCATTCCGTGGAGTTGTTCGACGGCCACAAAACTCGCTCGGGCGCGGTTGTTGTCTTCGATTCGGACAGCGGCAAGATCACGTCTGTCTCGACCAGTTCTAGCTCCGATCAATATCCACAAGGGGCAACCATCATTGACGGCACGGGACACACTCTTCTTCCAGGGCTGATTGAGTCTCACATGCATTGCTACAACCTGCATTTACCTCCAGGATCAGACGAATCGACCATCTTGACATCGCCCTTGAAAAGTGGCATCACCACAGTCTGCGACATGCATTCTGACCTGGCATCCGTTCAAAAATGGCGCAAAGCCATAGCCGAGGAAGTTGCACATGCCAAGCAGACTGGCGGAACAGTCACTCTATCTGATCTCAAGACCTCGCTTTATGGTGCTACCATCGAGGGAGGGTGGCCAAAACCGATCGTTCTGGCCGGTCATCCATCGGACGAGGTAAGTGTCTAGGTCAACTCTTGCGTCCGCTTTGCCGAGTCACAAAATTGCAGGAGGCTACGTCGCAAATACCGGTGTCACTGACTACTTGCAGGTCATCGAAATGGTCAAGCAATGGCCTAGCCTGACGCCGGAGACCGCAGCAGATTATGTTAAGAATCACAAGGCGAACGGAGCAAACTACATCAAGCTAATGCAAGAGAATTGCTGTTCTCTCGCTATCCCCACGAACTCAATCCCGGTCGCCTCACTCGAGCTCCAAACTGCAGTTGTCAACGCAGCTCATGAGAATGGTCTTCCATGTGTTGGACATGCTTTAAGCTCTGACATGACCGAGATTGTCCTCAAAGCTGGAGCCGACGGTCTGACGCACACCTTCGTTGATCAACCTCTACCGCAAAACATCCTCGACCTCTACAAAAAGACAGGCGCTTTTGTGATCCCTACGTTGACGGTGTTGGCCAGCTTAACGGCCGAACTACAGGATTGGCGGGAGAGGTTTGCTGATCTCGCACATAAAAAGGGAGTTGTGGACGATGCCACCAAGCAAAATATGGTTGAAGTCCTTGGCATGAAGGATCCAGCTGCCAAGCTGGAGTATGCAATCGACACAGTGGCAAAGTTGAAGAAAGAAGGTATTGATATTGTTGCCGGCACAGACGCTGTGGCGGGCTTGAAGGGCACTGGAATCGGCCCCAGCCTTTGGATGGAGCTGGAATTATACACTGAGAAATGTGGCTTCACCATCACGGAAGCTTTGAACTCTGCAACGGCAGTGACCGCGAAGAGGTTTGGTTTCACCGATCGTGGAGAAGTTGCAGAGGGCAAACGGGCCGATCTTGTCCTTGTGAAAGGCAATGTCACCAAGAGGCTGCAGAATCTCTGGGAAGGCGAGGGTATCGTAGGAGTGTGGAAGGAGGGTTTGAAGGCTAGTTAGGCTTACTGCCAAAATATGGGTTAGGCAAGTACAATACCTCTTTTACAATTTTCCATTCCCCACCAGAGTCCTTGCTTCTTTGATTTGCGTGTCTCCTTGCCCACAAAACTTCAAAACGTCGGTGGAAATTCCGGGTCGACGTGAGAGGAGGTCGAGAAAGGCTACACTGGTAGTTCTCAGCGATCCGGCGGACCAAGCCGAAGACAAGAGAAGCTGAATCGCGCACTCTGGACTAGGCAGGGCTTGGTCTGTTGTAGACCCTCCTCGAGTCCTCAAATGTTGCGAATTTGGTTCACTGCAGGAGAGCATCACCGCAACATTTCTCCAAGAGACACGGGTAACGAAATCCGTTGACAATTCAGGTGTACAATAAGCTGGCAAAGGCAAGTGTAAATGCAGAAGGTCCAATTGGTTTGACCTCTACTCAAGCACATTTCTTGAATGACCAGGCTTTCAGCCCCTTTATCAGGACAGTCCTTCTTCCTTTATTGGACAGATGAGTGCCTTACCTTCGTCCACACTGCCGGTTTGAAGATCCCACCACGGTTGGGCCAGGGAGTGGGTTCTCGATCATTTGGGAAGTCTTCTCGCACGACTCACGCACCCCATGGACCCTCACACCTGTAATTCACCCAGGACGACCAGGTGAAGGATCGAACGCGACACGACATTGTGGACGCGTCCACGAAGCTATCAACAATAGATATTTATTCACACATCGCTGCCTAACATAACAATTCAGCTTGGCAAAGGTAGCTCGAGTCTCGCCTTTAAAGCTTTACCCTGCCTTGTATATAAAAATAATCAATTTCAACCATCTCCTTTTCTCATCGGTCAAAACAAATCCTTGGAAAGCAAATTAAAATGTCAAAACTCGCTGGGAAACGCGTTCTGAGAGCGATATTGCGGAAGATTAGTGTGCCTCTGCGGCGTTGTCTGAGGAGGAGGAAGGCGACCGCCAGTCCAGAGCCGACAGTCGATTTGGCCCCGGCTGACGAGGTCTTTACCCAGGGTGAAACGGTCGCTACTCAGAATGACAATGTCTCTACAGAGACCCAAGCCCCTCAGCCGCCTGAACACATGTTCGAAGTTCACAGAGTCGCATTAGGCAGTGTGAAGAAGCACGAAGTAACAGTAGATGATAACTTGAACGGTCCTGGCCCATCAATCCGAGAGGATTCACCATTGAGGCAGCAACATGCTACTGTTAAGCAGAGACAAAAACATATCAGATTTGACTTAAGGCGCAAACCAATCATCGTGTTTCAGTGTCAGGAGGCCATTGTTGAAGAGCTTAACCGACAGGTCCGAGTGCAGGCGCCTGCAGTCTCCCAGCATGTGCCCATAGGGCGAAGCGTCGAGGGCTGCAATCCAAGTTTCAGCGGAGTTGACGCACAACAACGTATGCTCTTTCTGATGTATGGGGTTCAACCAAGACAAGATGACACCTATCAGGCGTATTTCGATCGTCAGTTTGATATGATATTTGGGACCCAAACAGTTCAAGAAGACATGAATCGGCCATACAGAGACACAGGGAGACAATGGCCCTCATTTGATGGACGAACGCGAAGATGCAGACTGTGGGATGACTTAACACCAGTCCACATCGAGTTCAACCAAGTCGTGAACCCCAAAGCTCCAAAGAAGCCGATAAGGGGGCTTTCCACCGCAAGACAACTCGACCTCTCGAGTATCTTCGACCAAGCAATAGAACGCAAATCGCTTGTGGAACAAGTTTCCATGCACCTAGCATGTATCTGCCAGGTCCAGCGACAGCCCAATGCTCATAGAGCTTACAGGTATGGTCTTGACGACGCAGCTTGCCGGCTTCCTTTCATCGTGATGGAATACTATTTTAGTGGCTTCACGTACACCGGCAGTCTCGAACTAGTTCTTGGGATTTGTCCCGTAAGTCATAACCCAGCTGCCATGGGATATGAGTCCTCAATTCGCTTATATGCTGCAGATCATTTCGTCGCCCAAAAAGCGGAAGTTGGGGCAGGATCCTCAGTCACGCGAGGATGCCGAGCAATCCAAATACCTTATTCCAATTGCGCCAGATGGGCCGTACCCAAAGGCAAGCCCAAACAAGGTGTGGCTGGAGAGGTGGCGGCAGTTCACCCAGGCCTGCTGGATCGACGCAAGCAGAGTGTACTATGTACCGGCCGATCTTTTCCACGAGAGCAAGTCGTCAGGCCTAAGGCTCTCGAAGGAATCATGGGAAAGTGTGAGACAGGGGCGGCCCATGGACTCGTTGGCAGACGAGGAAGCCCAGTTTGAAAAGGCATTCAATCTATATCAGGCTGAGCATAGCATACGCGGAGAACATGCCATTGTTCGCCCTGCTGTTTGTCGACTCCAGCCAGCAAACCAAGTCGCTGCCACAAAGGAAAACCAGGAAGGCATCCAGTAGTGATTGTTTGGAGAGAAAGCCGCCCACTGAGTCGTGTTCATACGGAAGGATTGAACGCGAATGCTCAGCATAAGCGGAAGACCGAAGACACCACTCGTTTGAAACTTGTGGACGAGTGCTTGGGTTACGACCGAGGGAATATAGAAATTCTGCAAGGCCACGGATTCAGACAAGAATAAGAAGCGGTCGGAGAAGGGAACTTTATAAGAAATGGAATGCCGTGTTTCAGAGTGAAGCCAGATTTAGCAAGAAGACCCCAGTTCCCATGCTCGGCGACGAGAACAGCACACGGGAAGCAGTCGAGGATCTTTATGATTTCTGGTACAACTGTGGCACTTTGGAGCACCTTTGAGTATCTGGATGAAGACGGCCCGGACGACAATGAAGACGCCTCGACTGGTCCGTCTCAAATACGAGGCTTTGGGCTAGTGGGCTGTATGCAAGGGCAGGTCTAGACGGCATTGGATGGACGGCGAGATAGCTACACAAAGCTGCAAGGATGGCCAAATACGGACAATCAACGATGCAAGAGGGCATTGAGCATCATATATGTACATACCTTCGTAGAAGTTCCACACAAGCCATGTAGATCAAGTCGCGGGAAAAGGCCCAGCGGCCATGTTCCATTTCTCTAGCCGCACATGCATGAGGCGCCCATCCACTTCACACCCGCAGCACTATCCTCGTCAGTATCCGATCTCCCGGGTTTCCCCTTCCCGCTACTTGGTAGTCCCGCTGCTAACGGCCTCTTACAACCCCTTGTCCTCTGTCCGCCAATACGGGGAATAACCCTTGGTAAGCTCCTAGACCTGTTCCTGGGCTTCCGAACGGAAACTACTGCACTGCTGTGTTGTCACTTGATACGGGGTACTATCGACACCCACCCGACTTGACGGTGCCGATGATATGGGCCTAGGTAGGTACAGAGGATTCCTTCTCACATCTCTGCACTCCCACGCCTGAGTCGGCAAGGTACATACAGGCTACAGCTTCTTTTCACTTGAGATCCTTTTCTCTCAAACATCATAGGGGCGGATTCTCAGCCCTTGCTTGCTTGCTCCTCAAGACCCTCTGAAACCACACAATGTTAGCCCCTAAGGAAGAAGACCTCGGGAAGCTAGCAGAGACATGCCTCTCCACAGCCAGGCGGATCAAACAGTATCTATCCGCCTCCAACCACCCACAGCCCAGTTTCGACGAGAATGGACCATCTTCTTTCCCCGCCGCGACCCCGGAGATCCAGCAGACCAGGCTCGAGCTGCGCACGGCCGCCAGGCGCCTGTATGACCTTGCCTCGGGGCCAGATGATATTGTGACATGGCATCTCTATCACTGCGTGGGTAATCCCAAATCCAGACCTAAGAACCCAAAAAAAGCACCCCTCATGAGAGAAAGAAATAGATCAAATGGTCCTTTTCCTCGTTGTTCGATGCAAAAGAAGCAAAGAATATCAAAAACTCACTTTTGTCTGATGAACGAGATGTGCTGATTTTACAGAACCACGATCTGAACGCCTTCCGCTACGTGTACAGATACAACGTGGCCTCGGGCGTGCCCTTGAACGGCACAATCAGCTACGCAGACCTCGCGGTCAAGTTAGGGCTGGACGCCTCGCAACTCAAGCAAATGCTACGGCAGCTGATGGCGATCCACGTCTTCACGGAGCCGCAGCCGGGACACGTCGGGCACACGGCATCGTCACGCCTGCTGGCCACACACGCGGGCATCGCGACCTTTACGGGCTTTTTGGCCGAGGACACATTCCCCCTGTGTGCAGTGCAGGTTGAAGCACTGGAGAAATGGGGCCACGGGCGCCCGGAGCCCTCGCGCACGGCACTCAGCTACTACTACGACACCGACCTGCCGTGCCACGACTACTACGAGACCAACCCAGCTGTGCGCGAGCGCTTCGGCCGTCTGATGACGCACCTGACGGCGAACCCGCTCATGGCCAACAGCCACATCTCACGCGGGTACGAGTGGGAAAGCTTGCCGCGGGACAGCGTCGTGGTCGACGTGGCGGGAAACGCAGGACACTGCGCGATCCCGATCGCCGAAGCCACGGACCCGAGCGTGCGCATCGTCGTGCAGGACCTGCCCAAGGTGGTGGCCTCTGCGCGCGACCCGGAGACCAGCGTGATTCCCTTGCCCTTGCGCCCGAGATTCGACTTCATGGCCCACGACTACTTCACACCGCAGCCCGTGAAGGGCGCAGCAGTCTACTTCCTGCGCATGATCATCCATAACCACAGCGACGCCCTGGCTGTCAAGGTCCTGCGACAGATCGTCCCCGCCATGGGCCCGGACTCGCGTATCCTCATCATGGACCAGGTCATGCCCCCCGCCGCGGGGCTGCTGCCCGAGCCGCTCGAGCGTATCAAGCGCTCCCAGGACCTGCAGATGATGTTGCTTCTCAACGCCAAGGAGCGCGACGAGGCCGAGTGGGCGGACTTGTTCGCAAAGGCCGGCGAGGGTTTGGTACAGGACGTCTTTGCTGCCGCCGGAGATGAAGCCGCCGGGAAAGGGAAGAAGTTGGGTATTGTCGCGATACGGACCCCGCCGGGCAGCATGATGAGTTTGATTGAGGTCGGCTTCGTCGAGGGTGCCAATGTCAATGGCGCGGAGGCTGGCAACACGGAACGCATTGCAGTTACGAGTCCTGACGCTGGGCACAGTTGAGGACGTGTGTTCATACGCTTAAGGGAGCTCTTGAGAGAAAACCATCTACGAGCGGGCAGTGCTGGAAGGTACATAGACAACAGAGAAGAGACATGTTCAACATGAGCAAAATTTGCATGGTAGTACTCGAGAAACGGATGCCGTGGAATCTCCCGACGACCAGTGGAGATACGCGAGAGCTGAAAACTGGTCCGCAAAGGAGATTTAAGGTCGTCCACCATGGAGACACACGAGAGCTCGACGTGGCTTCCTCACACAAGTCCGCTGGAACCCGATATGAACACACCCTCCTCTTCCAACAGCGCCTCTGATTTTTTCATGCATGTCTGATATGATGTTGCAGCGTTGGCGAAGCAAGTCCGCTCTGATCCGATATTAAAAGTCTCGCTTTTCAAATAGCGCCTCCTCGATTCTTCAAGGCACGTTTGACATCCCAGCACTGGTGAAACAAGTCGTCTTCAAACAGCGCCTCTTTGATCTTTCAATAGAGGCTTAACATCATGTTGGGGCGCTGGCAACGCAACTCCACTTTCAATGGTTCAATATCCATTTCGTTCAAAATCCAAGATCTCTTCGGGATCAGTCACCCAAAGCAACTGCCTTCCCTGAGCGGTTGCCTGCCGTGCAGCCCTCAACCCTTCCTCAAACTCTCTATCCCAGAACTCAATCGATTCTCTGGTATCTCTCTCTGTCCATGTCTTTTGTAAAAGTGATTCCACATACGATGATGCGATCCCGGCTTCAACGTATGTCTGTGGTGACGGGGCATTACCACCATTTAGGAGGTTTTCTACCCATGCGTCAAATTGGTGCTCGCGTTGGTAGTCGGTCATGCCGTCTCGCCCAATCACGGTGTTGTCCAACTCTTCGCGGCCCATGAGCCTTGACACTGTAAGTCTTCTACTGGCCTGAACTGGTGTCTCTTGGAATTGTCCGCCAATTGCGCTAGTCTCGATCTGAGATTCTGTCAATTCTGTTTCTGAGCCTGGTGGAGACGATGAACGCGATCGAGCTTTCTCGCTCATGAAAAGCCGGGAAGATTTGGCAGGTTTGTATTTCTGTGCATCTGATCTCGCCTTGTTGAGTCTGAACTCTTGCGTCTCATTCACCATGATGCTATCAGTGTGTCCTGTGAATCCGGATAATTCGAATTGAGTAGTTGGGGGGAGTTCTGCATGCGACATCCGAGGGGTACTAGGTTGAGGTGGTACTTCTTCCTGTGCGGCCGCCTGATGCAGCGTGAGGGTGTCTTCTTCCTCTTCCTCTTCAAACTCATCCGAGTCGGGAACGCGGAAGTGACCGGGTCTGGGATTTGCGAGGGATGGTCGCCAGGTGTCATCATTGGGATCGATGATATTGGGATCGAGTCGGAATGTGTTTCTGGTATTCTGAATTGTCGTCCGCAAGTGTATGTGCTGCACGTCAAATGGAAGAGAAGATGAGGAGTCTGGTGATTGACTTTCAAGGTCAGCGAATGTGCTGCCACGATAGTCTCCAGAGCGACCATACTGGCCGTAGACAGCTTTGACCGAATCAATTGGGTTGATGCGCACTGATTTGACGGATCGTCCGACTGTGCCGAAGTCTGTACCGGTCTGTCTCATTGCCGAGCGCAGAGGAGTTTGCGGTAGAAGTTTCGTTGCGGGTGTGGCAGGTTGGGTTTTTGTCAACGAGGATTCACCGATACCTTCAACTTCATTTTCCACGTCGAGATAGCTGTCATCAATTCCAAAACCACCTCTTTTCGGACCTGGAATTTGGCCTTCAACTGAAGTGAGTTTGCGCTTGTTGGTACCTGGCGTTTCAGCAGGGTTGAAGTCTGCTGCTCTGCTTTCTGTGCTATCGGCCATGGCTGCCAACTGTTCACGACCTCCAATGGTGTTTGCGGTTCTGCGTCTCTTGAGATATTCGCGAGTAAGGATTCTGCTATCAAGAAGGGGAGAGCCACGAGTAGGTGAGTCAGGTTCGTTGATAGTAATGCGTGGAGCAGGGGTAGGACTGCCTTGTTCGGAAAATTCCTGTGATTCTCTGGCAGTTGTGTCTCCATCTTGTGTTTGGTCTTGGTCAATAAGACTGCTTTGTTGCGGTGGTGATGGTGGTTGTTGGTGTTGCCCGACATTTTCTGCCGGGCCTTGTGTGCTACTACCTGTGAAGTAGCCAAAAAGTTTCCTCACACTTCCCATAATGCCACTTTGTGCTGCAGCTGGGGCGGGAGTGCCTGGTTGCTGTGGCCTCGGTCGTTCTTGCGAGATGGGACGTTCCTCTGTGTTAGCCGGGCTGGATTCTGGACTTGTGGGTTCCAAAGTGCGATGAAAGAAGGGGGACTCGTGTCGGGAGCTGAGTTTTGAGGGCGCAGAGGTTAGGAGGCTTCGGTTTCGAGTCTTTGAGAACAGAAACTTCGGTTGTTCTGGGGTGATGGCTTTGTGCCGCTTCGACGCGGCCTGGGCGGCGCCATCGTCGGGCTCTCGTCGTCGCTTCGCGCTCGCAGGCTCTAGGTGGCATTTGCACGTCAGCTCAGCGTCCGTTTGGGTGGACGCATCCCTACACAGGGTTCGCGTCTGGGCAGACGCCCTGATTGTTGCCGCCCCCGTCAGGGCAGACAGGTCCACGGCGAGGAAAAGGGAGGAAGAGGATGATGAATGGGAACCAATGAGAGGCGCCATAGGTGCCCTAGGCGCAACCTTTTGCTCACGTTTTGGTGGTTGGTACTCCGAGAAGCCCTCGGGTCGGGCTCCTTGCCCACGGGTGTGGACCATGGTGGCTGCTGGTGGTCGATGTTGATCTAAAAGAGGATTCGAAAGTGAAGGGACAAGTCATAAACAATTGAAAATGATGCGAGTCGAGAATCCAGTTACCGTATTAGGACTAGTGGGTTATGTCTTGGCATCAGCCTCGGTGTCTCCCGCGAGCCCCGAAGTTCAACATGTCACAGTCTGGTCTGACATTGCGTCTTTCTTCAGCTGCGATGCGAGAGGTAATTGTTATTGCGATGGAGGCTGCCTTCGATTTCGGCGGGACTTCTTCCTATCTTTGACAGTGATTGTTTGCTATCACTCACCCAGACGGGGAATCCTATTCGAAGCAGCGGCCACCTCGTCGACGTTTTAGTCCTTTTCCTCTTTGTAGGCACAGCGTCAGACTGTCGACTTATTTCTCTCCGTGCCTCGTCTAGTCTGAGACTCCATTCAATGTCATTGTCTAGACACACTCGACGACTACGGCATACGTAACATACTAGTTTCTGACACTTCCGTATCGGGCCGTGTCCACGGACCAACCAGCTGCAGATAGAGTCAGTCAATAAATCTAGTTTCTGACATAACGGTATGAGAGAGAATTGCCACGGACGGACAAGCTGTGGACGACGATTCAACGAGGCCGCCTGGACTGTACACACCCAAATGCGCACATGCGCTTTGTAAGTCGGTAGCATCCATGTAGAAGCCCTGCATGTCTGGTCGTGCATATATTAGCTGGTCTTCCTCGCGTGGAGAACTATGTCGAGACAAGAGTCCGAAGCTTTTTTCCCATTACACATCCTAGGAGAAAAGAATGTCGACTACATATCTGATCACAGGGGCCAACCGAGGTTTGATTTCCAGAGAGAATGAGGCAGAAAGATACCTGCTAATGTTGCTCGTAGGTCTTGGGAGGGCTCTGGTTGAGGCTTATCTACGCCGACCTAATAATATTGTCGTGGCCGCTGTTAGGGATGCAACAGATGATACAACCAAGGCCCTTCGAGACCTTCCCAAGGCACCTTCGAGTTCCCTGTTCGTGGTCAAAATCGACATGTCTTCCGAGACAGACGCTGCTCGAGCGATGAAAGAGCTGCAGTCTGCTCACAGTATCACGGTCATGGACACCGTCATAGCCAATGCAGGCATTGCGAAGGTTTTCCCAAAGGTTGAGGATGCTCAGACGTCTGATCTCCTGGAACATTTCCATGTCAACGTGATTGGGAATATCGTTTTGTTCCGAGCTGTCCTACCGCTGCTTCGGAAGTCCCAGAAGGTCGGAAAGTTCGTCACGATGGCCTCGATGGCAGGCGCGATCGCGGAGATGGAGAAAGCGAATGTTCCCAATGCCGTGTACGGCACGTCCAAGGCCGCCTTGAACTATGTCACCAAGAAAATCCATCTAGAGAACGAGGATATCATTGCGTTTCCCATTCATCCTGGGTGAGTTTCAACGCGCCTCCTCTCAGCCATGAATGGGCATCTCAGGATTGACCGAGTATTTCACGAGTGCATAGCTGGGTTCAGACGGAGATGGGAAACAGTTCAGCTAGATCGTTCGGGCTTGAACGCGCTCCAAACACAGTGGAAGAGAGCGTTTCTGGTTTGATGAAAGTGGTAAGCGGGTGTTTGAGCGAAGCACCGTAAGGTTGACGGAATGCTAATCGAGGCGCTTTGCAGATTGAAGACTCCACGCGAGAATCCACCTCGGGGAAATTCATGTCCTTTGATGGCGCAACCATTGCGTGGTGAGGCTTCCGTGATTCAGAGAGCGCTTAACGGATCTAGACTTGATAGTGGTGATGGTTCTTCTACAAGACGGGGTTGGAAGTGGCTGCCCTCCATTCTTTCCTTGCAGACTCCTGGAGAATACTGATCCCGAGATATTTCCACGAATCAGCGAAGGCTCTGTATATAGAAAACTCTTGGTGGTGTCAATGAAACAAGATCTCGCATTTCTCCCTGAATTCAAGAACGATCTGAGAGGCCACGGTATCCCACGCAGGGGGCAGAAGATGTAGCGCTGGAATCTGTGGCTACGGTATCGGAAGGCGCCGAGCCAGAGGCACAGAACCTCGTTCGATGGGCTGCCGCTACACCCGGAGAGGTCGTACCTGGTCTAGAATGACGAAGGATGCTCATGGACATGTGCTCGGCCGAGGGGGGCTGAAGAGGAAGATGCAATTTGCATCCATTACATACAAACGCTTGGCTTTTTGAGCTATGGATACGACGATCCAGGATCAGTTTTCTCATGCGAGCGTGTTGGACAACATTCCAGCGCCCCCCTCGATTCTTCTCCTGCTCTTGGCTGTCCCCATGGTGCGTGCTTCCTTGGTGGGCGCTTTCGAAATGAACGAGGGAGTAAGTTCGCACGTTCTCGGACAATTGCCCGATTTGCGACAGTACAGCACTGCACATATGCCTGAGGGCACGGGGACTCAGGCGGACTGATTGTCGTTCGTGTGCAGGTTAAGAATCAACCTGGAAGTTGTGTATGAGAGTCTAGAGGCCGAGAGGCTGCATCATGCATGTTTATGAGGCGCTAATTTCTGATGGTATTTTCGCCGCCGAATCTGACCTGCCTACTTAGTAGCTCGCCAGGGCGACGTATTTGCATTCTGTCACTCTACCCATCCTCGGTCCTACATCTCATCGCCTACACCCTCAGGCCACCCCCAGCTCTCGGCACAACCTGGCCCTTCCCGGATCTAACTCCCACTATCAGTCCCGTTACCCGCTACCTTCTTCGCAGCCCTTTCAGTCTTTCCCTTGATGAATTTTGACAGATCACCCACAGGGAGGGTTACCGGAAAGTCGACGCATTCGAGCAATTGGACTGCGAGAAGGTACCACACCATCATCGTAAGTGCGAAGGTGAATGCTCCTGCTGCCTGCAGATGGAGGGAACGTGTTAGCTTGGGAATTATTCTGGGGGGGATCGGAAGTGGCGTTCTCAATGGAAGAATCATGGGGAACGGCGGAGGTTCAGACATAGGCATAAGCGAAAGCGAAAGCAAAAGATGCAATGCCAAGAGATTGGACGACTCACTATAGTCAACCTGCTGCCCATGTCCGCGTTCCCAAGCGCCAAGTTCCAAAAAGCTCCCGCGGCACAGCCAAAGGCGAAGATCAGTGTGAAAAGCGCCGAGAAGAAGACGATATTAGTACGCAGAGAGCAGACAGTGAAGATTGTGGTGATCATGGCGAGGGAGAGGTAGTAGAATCCTGTGCGCAGAGGCGAGTGCGTTAGTGGGTTCTTTGGTGATTGTGTGGCCTCGAAAGAGACGTACCGACAGTGGCGAAATAGCTCGGTTCAGTCATTCCATGCAGCGTGTCTCCCGTGGTCGAGTATTGGACTCCCACGCCAAACCAGGGGATGAGTTGAGTGCCAGCCACAATCCAGAAAGTGCCGTAGGTGAAGAACAAGCACATGGAAAAGGTGTTGCCCAGGATCCATTCGGCGATGGCGCCGAGGATCTGGAGAACACCGCCGAAGAAGATCATTGTTGGGCTGTGAAAGTGGTGTTAGTCCAGCTTGGGAGGTAGGAGCAGGAGGGAAACTTCTTTGGGAGACACCAACGGTGTTTGGGGCCTCTGTAGGAGTAGGGATGAAGGCTTACATAAGGGCACCTCCCAGACCTCCTGCACCACGCCAGCCCATGTTTGCGGCAGCGTAAGGAGTGGCAGACATGACGAAGCCAATGAGAGCGGCAGGCGTGGGATTACCAAACTAGTAGAGAAGACAGCCATGAGACAAGCCCGTTGGAATTAGGAGTTGAAATATTACCTTCTTCCTCAAGTGTCCGGGCACATTTCGTTCAGGAGAGAGATAAAGGGCCTCAAACACATCACGAGGGAGGAAGACACTGTCTGCTGTCTGTACGCGGCGGAGGAAATCTTCTTTCGAGTTGAGGTGGTTCAAGGGAGGAGTTTTGATGTCCTCCATCGTCAATGGAGTGAAAACACACCGCTCCGCGAGAGAGTCAAAGGGGGCAGGAGAATGGTAAATATCTCTGAAATTTTTTTTGCTAGGTGAGGCAAGGGATGAGACTCAAAAGGGCCACGCAACGAAAGAGGCGAAAAGCGAAATGAAAGCCAGGGACAGTCCGGCCTTCTTGAAGCTTTTTCAACATGGTTTGGTGCTCACAGTGCCCTGCAATAACGACTCGGTAGATGCATTCAAGCCACGCTGGTTGGAGTATTTCCGTTGATGAGAACACCTCGCCATGAGCGAGTCCAGCAGCGGGGAGTCAGCGGTGGGCAATGACTGGACAATGCAACCTGTTCAAGCCCCGTGGGGATCGTAGCATTTTGCCATCGATGGCGTTGAGGAACCAGTGAACATACAGATGCAGGGCTTTTTGCGGTGAAAAGCGGGTTTATGTCCCTGGAGCTGTGGGGATTAGTACCTACCTAGGCAAGGGGAAACTTTGTCATGTATGGCCACAGGGGGGGTAGAGGGGAATCGGACGTTCAATCTCCGTCAAAAGGACCTGTAGAGCACCTGGAAGGGATTTATGCGGTCGTAAGCAGAGTTGTGAGAGACTCCCTGGGGAGACTCTCACTCGACCCAAAGATGCATGGGCGGGGTGGAAAGCGTCGAACATAATCAGCAGACTGGAATTTTGCTCTGATAAAACACATTCGAGGATAATTTTATGCCCGCACGGTGCGATGATCTATCCCAAACTGTAGCCAGCTCTCCGTAGGTATTTGTAGTATTCGGGACTCTGGAATGTCCGGATGAGAGCATACCAGGGTTTTCGAGTTGGAGAAGGAGTAGCATGAAGCTCTCGTAACTGAAACGCCACGTCATGACGTTGCAACTTGCGGGGAGGTGGAGGTGTGGATGTGTGGAGACTAAGTGGTTGAGATTCCCGAGGTTCAGAGAGGAGCTTCCAAAGGGCCATTTAGCCGGCTTCGAGGGTATGGTGGACGAGCTGATGTGGTTTTCGAGGATATCAAGAGAAGGAGTTTGAAGAGAGGAAGTTCAAACAAGATGTGGCAGTCCAAGAAATCGCCAAGTGATACTAGACTATATTGCCGGGTGTCATGACACTTTAAATATTACTTACTCTGTTGGAATACGAGGTCCTGCTGGCAAATGCCTGCCAAGGCAACGGATTTCGTTCAGGGGGCTCGTACAGCGGGCAGCCTTAGTGTGGCTTTGCTTATGTACCTAGCTCCTCGCTCCTCAGACTTTGGAGAGGCCAAAAGGTTGGGGAAGAGTATTTTTGGTGCCGAGTATTGGGGGAATACCAAGGTACGCAACCAAGGTATCGATGTCGACTGTGCCTCCTCAACCCCATTCTACCCGATTGGTTCCCTCGCAAGCACCCAAACTGGACGACAAAAAGGACAGTCGCATTGGATTTTCGTTTAGACGCGCGAGAAAGAGGTTAGTACAGGACTAGGCGTCCTCTTGACCTGTTACTTAGACAAATCTGGAACACCAGCTTCCCTGTCGGTAAGGCCGTAGTAGGCTCCGGGTCGGACCCCTGGTAGCTCACAAGTTGGCAACCAATTGCCGTTCGCCATATCAATCCAGCAGTATATCTTGTAACGCATCCTTATTTAGGTAGTCAAACGGAAAGGGCAAGATACGTAAGAGCCAGGCCTTTGAAAGATACACCCGGAGAATGAAGTCAAGCCGAATGCAGCGGAACATGTTCCAGGGCGCTAACGATATAGCATTGTTGCCCTACTGTCTCGTTGTATATAAAGGAGATGCATGGGGAAGCCTATTAGAGTGGCGTGCTCCGTACTCCGTGATTTGTAGAGCAGAGAGACGGCACAAGATCACGGTTGCAGATGTTCGCAATCCAAGCAGCCAAAAATACCCAGGTTCTTCTCTAACACTTCTTTCCATCACACAATTTGCCTGCCTTACCACGCCACCATATGAGATATATGGAACAAACGGTGTTCGGACTGGACCTGGAGAATGAAGGATGAGCGAGTAACCGCCTACTCTCAGATGGCTTTCACATTCATCATGCCTGCAAGAGCATGAAGTAACGTTGCGTCGGAACATCTCCGACGTGGAAAAAAAGTTATCCCTGAGGCAGCAGCAGAGTATGTCCTAGTAAGATAATACCACTCCGATGCTGACCGCGTACATGATCATGCATTTCCGACGCCGCCTGCATAGCATTTGACAAGATAAATCGAGGCCGACGACCTGATATGATCTGTCACCACGTCAAGCTTGAAATAAGGACGGTGATAAGGAGGATTGGGAATCCTGTCGCGCTTCGTCCGAGGACGAGCATCCCAGCGACTGCTTGATTCCGGGTTTCAGCGCCAGTGCTAAGAGCACCGCCGAGATATGGCTGAGACGATGGAAAAGACACGCTAGCATCCTGGCTGGTCTGATTTTGCAGAGAATTGTTTCGGAGATCACACGATGGGCGAGTTCGACTGGCCGCCAGCTGCGTGGTTTTGGGGATAGAGTTTGTGACCTGGATCGGGAGGTTGAAGATTGTGTAGAACCCAGTCCCGTTGATACGAAATGACTGATGAATCGAGACCTACGAAAAGTGTCAGTTCACGAAGCTGGGTGAGAGAAGCGGCCATGATCCCACGTTATAAGAGCCTCTGGCCGATGAGTCGCCGGAATCCTTGTCACCATCATTAACGAAGCATTCAGGCCACGCCCAATTGACGTGTTTCACAGTACTACCACTTTCTTGTGCCATGATCTCCTCACAGCCCGCATTCTGAAAGCCTTGACTAGTTGAGGAGTTACAATGGAACTCTGGTGCTTCCGAGCTGGTGTCCAACCATCCATAACTGGTGCCATTCGATATCGTCAAGTTAAGGCCTGTTACGTAGCTGAACAGGAAAATGGTAATGTTGAGAATTCCGGTTTCAACATTGGGAGAGTATGGAGGCTGAGGGATCCGGCCATCTCCAGAGATATCAATTGCGACTTGGAGGAAATCTAATACCGCGGTCAGGGTCGTCAAGGTCACCTTCTGCAATAGCATAACGCGTCCGGAAGGGAACGCTCTACGCCGAGATGTACTCACCACCTCCTTCAGGCGTAAACGGTTGAGGCGCATCGATTATTGCTAAGCCTGGAGTGTATATCTGACCGTTGACGATGGTGAAGCTCGCTATAGCTTGCACACAAGCGGTGAATATTAGGCAAAAGAGAACAAGAGCTCTGGGTAAAGAGGGTCGGGCCAGCGAAGTAACCATTTCAACAAAGCAGAAGCTCTCGCATTTATGGACATCTCATGAGGTTCAATGACACCATGCGAGCGGAGTATCCTGTACGCAGCATCTCAAGAGCCAGAAATTGCGGATGGGGTGAGCATTAATTTGCTTGAAACCGCAATCAAAACTGTGACGCGAAATCAAGTTTCTCGTGTCCCAGTATCTCGACTTTAACCCATTGAAGCATGTTGGACTAGCCCAGCTAGGTTAGAAAGGAGAAGTCTTGGTACTCTAGCAGCTTGCTCGGCTTTGTAGCCTATACCGAAGGTTCGGCCCGATGAGCTAATATAGGCAGAATAGGCAAGCTAGATGTCCATCGACATACCCATGTCCTCCGTCCAAAGGATTCACCCGTTTGTTGCAGCATTAAGGGAGGGTGGTAGGAGGGGCCTTTGGAGGCGTGACCTTAACTCGCAAGCCCTTCATCATTTAAATTCATCAATAATTTCCACGAGTCTTGCTGTGTTCTGTGAAGAGAAAACACGCCTGGAACTAACGTCTGTTGATACAAAGGCATGGCTTCCTCACCTTTCCTAACAGTTCTCTCTCCGCTGGCGTTATTTTTGGTACTTGTACGGTCCCCTTGCAAGCCTCGAATTTGAGAAAGTTTACTAAATTCGTCTTATCGCACTTGGCCGGAGATGAAAGCCAGTTGCGGAGAACGAGATGGGTTAAGATCAGGGCCGCGGCAACAGGAGGTGCGAGGAACGCTAGGTTAGCCAGATTCCCGCTCCCGACATGCAGATTAGACATGATAAGGGTGCTCGGCACTGTGTACGAGAATGTGGAGTTGATCCGCGCCGTAATCATGGCTGCGACCGGACCGAGAACGTCCTCGAGCGCTTTCTTGGAATCCGGAAATACATACGAGGAGGTTTGTCGATGCCTGTGGCTTGGTATGCCAGATCGAACCCACCATCAAGGCCCTCGTTCTGGAGGAGGATTTGCTGGTTTGCGGCCACAACTGTGGCTACGACGGAGAGGTCTACAGGAGGGCCCGTGGGGATTCCGCCAGTCACAATGAGCGAGCGCGAGTAGTGAGATTGTGACGATTCGCCGCCGTTCTTCATTCTGAGGGAGACATTCCGACATTCGAATACGTCTCTGGCATCGACTGTATAGGTGATGACGTAGATTGAGGTATTGGCTGTGGGAGGTGGCGTTGGAAGTCGTTGATTGATGTAAGGTAGAATCAAGACTTTGTGAATGCATTTCATTTTCTGTCTCAGAGAGCCGTGGCTCTCGTCCATCTATGACACAGATAGCCAGTGTCCTCAGGAGGAAGATCGCAATACCTCCCCTCAAGGTAGGTGGGCATCACAATTGACATGGCGAGCCAGTGGGCGTACCCACTGTAGGGTACGGAATATAATGGTGCCCTGACCGACTTGGTCACAGGGTCAGAACGTATTCACCACGGTACTCTCAATGAGATAAAGGCCGGATATGTAGGAGCTAAATGACAATATTTTAGAACAGTTATCGTCTAGAGATTTGATATAAAACCACGGCTTAGGGAAGCCGGCTCGTCCGCCCAGGACGCAATGGGCAGGATTTTTTCCCCTAACACGGAGGCGTTCTGTCGTCTCGACCACATTATCTCCGTAGACATTTAAAAAGTCGTTGAAGTCTGGACTCCGTGTTTGTTCTGGTGAATATACCGTCAATGGTGTTCCGATGACACTTCGGTGCATGGCCACACCGGGGCCGGCGTACGCAAAAGTGTCTGGGATAAGGCCACTAATATTTCCAAGAAGCATCTGGGCGTCGCCGGAGGGAAGCCGCCTTTCTCCATCTGTACCAGGTACACGGCTCCATTATTTCCATCGTCCCATTGGTACGGCCACCAGTCCGGATGCTTCGTGATAGACCGAGGAATTATCTCTGTACAAAGCCTCAGCTTTTGGTTGATCAAAATGCTAGGGCCATTGGCGAGCTTCTGGCTGTACTGGATGGAACGTATGGCTGGTAAGGAGTCAGGGCTGTGACAACAGTAGCCGTGATAAGGCCGACGATAGATAGATTGGGATATTGTAAGGCAGTCTGTGAAGCAGCGCGAGTATCAGGGCAGTTTGTCACGCCGTTTGATCGACAGCGCAATTTACAGATGGACGGCGTCGGCATAGATGGCAGCGACAGGGAAGGTTTTAAGCTAGCTATGGTTACCCAGGTTAAATATCTATATAAACAGGAAAGAGCTCGCTTAACGGACAGATAGACAGACATCTCGCAGGATAGACAAATGCTATCAACCACTTGAACTCTTAAACGTCTTACACGTTTCCTTGAGGCTTTCGATCTTGGAAATTGCACGCGAGCGCCTAGTGGAAGGGGAATTAGGTGCTTATGGATCCCGCGCCCTGAGGTTGTGGCCGAAATCTCTAGTAAGAGGGCTCTGTATTTGCGAGCTGATGAGGCCAGTGAAGACAGTTGCGAGAATGGATATGCTAGTTACGTGCGAAGTCCGCATTGCTGCAGGAATAGTATCCCGTGAAGTGAGTTCAATGGGGCGAAGCACGACCAGGATAGTTAAAAACGATAGATACTCCGAGCGAATAGAGGAAGAATAAACCCGCTCCTTCTTTTTGCGCCCTGGATAGCTCATTTTACTGCCGGCTACTAAGTGAATAGAGAGAGTAATTTCTGGAATGGAATATGTTCGACGTCAGATCCTATTTGTAACCTCCTGCTATCAAATAAATAGCTCGAAATAATCATATTAGACTTGAGTTGAGGACTGAATGCGAGCCGATGTGGCAACAAATGTAGTGAGTTGGGTGAGGAGCTTTGACTTGAAGCCAGAATATAGAATTGGGGCGAAAGTCCACACTCAGAAGCTCTCGTTACGGACCACGCTACCCCGTACTCCATGTTTAGCCCGAAGCAATGATGTCTTGGGCGGCATGATTCGAACAGAAGACATTGACCGTATTGGGGAAGATGTGGACTCGAAGCACTCCACTCCTCGGCAATTCTGGGCCACCCGGAAGTTCTGCCACCATGTACTGTAATTACTTAAGTTGGGACGGCTGGTGGGCAGACTAACCCGATGTGGCTCCTCTGGCAGTTTAGTGCCTCCTGGGGCTGGCATGCATCGGGGCGTACAGCCTTGGCCTATATTGGCCTATAGTGACAACAGATATTCTCGTATATGTTCCCCCTCGTATTCATTAGTTTTGTTCTCTCACATTTCCCTATCATCACATATTCTCTCCTGCATTTCGTTGTCGTCTTACACATTGCCACATGCTCACTCCACCGCCACGACTTTCCTCCCTACACGAGACACTCCAAAATAAACTCCGCTTTCGTAAGACTATGGCTTGTTCTGAGGGAATGCAGCCATTTCGACCTGAGGTTCTCCTCCCAGTTCGCTTGAACAGAGCGCATAAGCCCTAGAGTTCTTGGTTCTGCGGTGTGCAATCAATTGCCGACAGCTTCTAAACAGAGGGACAACAATCATGAGACCCTGTTCGTGTCCGCTACAAAGATGATTACCGCTGGAGTTATTTCAAGGTATTTCCGCCTCAGATTCCAATAAACCCGCTCTTAATGGTAGACGATACAGTACAGCATGGTCACAGACTAGCTATCAGCCAATCAAAGGTCTGTTTCTGACCTTCTGTCCAATGTTTGCACTAGTACTTAATCAGCACGATAGTCCATTCCCTGGAAAGGCTTCATAGTCCTCCTTGCGCGCTGTGAATCAGGTCCAGCGTCTGCCTTCATCATTCAAGACGTCAAAAAAGCTGCGCCCCATCCACATTCCAACGACAGGTTTTGAAACCATGAAGACTCTGCTATTTGTCTCGTCCTGCCTCTTTCATTCTCTCTTAGCCTCGCCTAGCTTTAATCCTGAAATATGCCTAACTGAAAGCGAGGGAAGGACCTTTCCCAAAACGACGCCTAAAACCCATCACCTCAAAGCCCTTAACTCCACAACTAACAATATTCTTCACCTAACCCGGCAGGCCACTGCTTCAGGGCTCGTGGCTCGGCAAATCTCCAGTATTGTGGAACAGGATGGCCAAGCAGCGTACACCGCCGAAGTGGTCATCGACAACACTACGTTCAATCTCCTCGTCGACACTGGCAGCAGCGATACATGGGTTACATCACTCAATACCACGTGCTTTGACCCATTCACTGAGGAGGCATGCACTTTCCCCACGCACCTGAGTGTTCCAGAAGATGAGAAGTGGCTCGAGCCCTTCTACACCAGCTACGTAGACAAATCAAACGTAACTGGTGGTTTGATCCAACGTCCGCTCTCAATAGCAGGGATTGCAATCCAAGACCAGGTCATTGGGTTGGTGGATGAAGCGTTCCTTGGCCGCACGGATGGCTCACTCGACGGGCTGCTGGGACTGGGGCTAGGCGCAATTGGAACACCGCCATATCTGCCCGTCTTCGGCTCCATGATAGCGGACGAGCTGATCGAAAGGAATCGCTTCAGCATTGCGCTCCTGGGCACCGCCGACGTGGATGAGAGGGACTCGGGCCTGCTGGCGTTTGGCGGAATTCCGGAGTCAATTGAACTGACGTCAGAATGGGGCATTGCGCCTATCTTGACGGACGCGTTCTATGCGATTGAGGTGGATGGATTCATGTTCCAGGGAGCGCAAGAGATCACACTCTCGCTGGATCAGAGAATTGCGGTTATGGACAGTGGGACGTTCTTAACACGTCTTCCTCTCCCAGTTGCTGATGCGATTTGGGATCTCCTTCCTGGCACTCCGACAGACGAGTGTACCGGCAAAAGCAACGAGAAATGCAAAGGAGATCTAGGGTATTGGAAGGTCCCTTGCGACGGCCGTGTCCCGTCTTTCTCAGTCGTGATTGGTGGAGTAGCCTTCCCGATCAGCGAGGAGAATTTGATTGTATCTCTTGCGGAGGATACCTGTATAAGCGCCATTATACCGCAGGAGGGCGACCTACCGGCCATATTGGGCTTCACATTCATGAAGAATGTTGTGGTATTGCACGATTTCACAGATTTGCAGGAGCCGATTATGGGAGTTGCGACTTATGAATTCTCACAATAGCGGATATGGTGAACAGAATATACCTCGAGAGTGCTCAATAACGTCAAAGCGGCAGCTATGTCGAACAACTGACAGGATAGGATGAATGAAGGAGGGCCACTGTTCTAAAGATAACCAACATACTTAATGTGAATGAACGAACCTTTGATCTAACAGTGAATCGCTCTACTCTTTGTCCCTTGTTTTTGAATGCGGCTCGCTAGGTAGATTTCCTACCCCCTTCCTCACCTTCTGTAGACGATTCCAAAGTTTCAATCTCCTCAATCTCTGGTATGAACAGTTGGCAAGGTGCCTAGCCTTGCCAACCTCGCCGTTGCGCTTGGCTAGCGGACCAATTTCTCAGCACCGAAAACCAAGCCTTTGAAGGCCACCTGGCGACGTCCGAGACCGAGCAGATTTGAACCGGTGATTTACCATCTCTGCACTGTGTGGCCGGCTGAACACCTAGATATTCAGCTGATGACTGCAGTTTCGTATTCACAGAATGGGTATTCTCAGACTCGGCGTATTCTTGTCGGAGAGGCCACTTAGCTTGGAGGCCGCAGCTACCTACCTAGGTACCCAAGGCCTCCAGAACTGGCTTTCAGCCGGGCGAGCGTCCGTCATTCTCATCCGGTAGTTGTCCATGGTCTGAATTCGCTGTGTTGCTTGGGTGCGGCCGACTGCGCCTGTCCGCCAATAGAATACCCTGCCTTCATGATTGAAGAACGCAGCGTGCCGAGTCGCACATTTGCCCCTGGCAAATATATCCGTTTCGTGTGTTCAACCTTCCAGCAGCTGCCTTCCTATGTACAAGGAGAGGAAGAAAACGGCGAAAAATATCAGCTCACAGAATGGTTTTTATGTCCCGTAAAAGCGGCGCGAATCTTTAGACTTTGAGACGTCTGCGGCTTTCACGTGATCACAATTTTCAATGCGGAAGTTGAGCTTCTTGCACTCTTGTCCACCGACCTTATCCTCACCTCGCTGTCGCCATTCCAGAGATCTTTCTCTCTTGGCCCCCCATGGAGCAAGTCTGTGCACGATGTGCGAGACTCGGCCTCAGGCCAAGATCTACTGTTTCGTCAGCTCCGCTGGCCATCAATGCTAGAGGATTTTCCAGCTCAAGAGTCTCATGTGATGAAGGTAATACTCACATTCCTCACCTAAGGCTAGTCGTTCGAGGACATGGCCGACTGACCTTAACATTGCTTAGGTGACCAAAAGCCATCTCGCTGGCCAAGTGGCAGACCTCTATCTGGTCCCTCCCTACGCGGCGCGCTTGACAGAAACACCGCGAGTGGTTCGGCTGCTCGACCACAATCACGGCCAGCAGGAACAATCCTGCGACGAACAGCTACACCACGAATACAAAACCCTGGACCAGCCGGGACAGCTACTCGAAGTGGGACAGCTACTGGAGCAGGAGCAGGAGCAGGTTCTCGCGCGCCACTACCGCCCGGCCGCCTTCTACAACGCACTGGAGCGCCGCGTCAAAGCCAACAGCCTGTAGCTCGACGAACGGCTGGGCGAGGCCAACAACCCCTACAGGCGCAACGACGAGATCAGCCCAGATCCTCTGCAGCGACTGGCAAGCACACCGACCGGCGAGTCCGCCGCCTCGTCGAGAAGACCAAAACTTCCCTTGCCGAAGAAGAAGATTCGTCTGCGCTCGCCGCCGAAGACCTCCCCAGCCGCGTTGAGCACTACATCAACACAATCGTGGACCCACCCGTCAACCCGACGACCGAACTCCCTCACGTACCCGGTAAGGATCTCTCCGTCTCTGAATTGCGCAAGGATTGGCCAAACACACCACTCTCCAACTCCGGGTTAGTGGAGAGTGTGCAACAAAGGATCGAGTGGCTCGCACATCGAATTCCGCATGGATATCAGACACCGGGACAATTGGCGGAATGGTACACCAAGGGGTATTTCACGCGCTTCGAATCCGAGTCGGAGAAGGAAGAGGTCTTGAAACTTGCGCAGGAAATGGCCAGGGCGGAGGCGGATAAGGAGACCGAGAAGACAAACGTCGAAGTCCAGCCCAAGGACATGGAGTTTGATGACGTGGTTACCCGCGCGGCCGAGCGCAAGGGCCTCGCGGATACCTACGTGCGTGGCGTATATCCCGAAGTCAAGAAGCAGAAGATGCCGTTTTTGGACCAGATCGTGCGCAATCTGAACAACAACGCGACGTTTCCCCATGGCAAGACCGAGCAGTTTATGCAGACGGTGCAGAGGGTTATCGTGTCGCGTGCGTAGGATGGTGGGCGAGCTTAGAAGACGACTGAAAAGTCAAGTGCACAAAACATACCTGTGGGAGAGTGGTGTAGAAGAAACTGGATCGGGATTGTTGATTTGGCATTCAACGTACGTCTCTGAGCTAGATACAATGTACCAAACTTTCTTCAATGCCCTAAATGTCATTAGCGATGCCACAGAAAACCTCCATGGATCATGACCATCAATGTAACAACAAAAGAATGACCGTACACGAAAACGAAAGACGAAAGTGCTACTCCACCTCCATGACCAGCACGTCGATATTCAGGCCTCCCTCCCTCCCTTTCCTAGCTTGATTCTCTTTGCTATTGTCAAGTTGCACGAGTCCTTTGCCAATCAACACGGCCAAAGCAAGTCTCGAAATGCATGAGAAGTCCTTTTTTCCCGACTGTCCTGAGACGGGAGAGTGCAATGCCCCTACGCTAACACATCGCGTCATTGCCATATCTTAAGCCCGACCCCAATGCTGGTCGACAGACACCATTGATGAGAATCTGGTATCGACATAGCGGACAGCGTGAGCGGCTCTCGCGAATCAACCAGACGATCAGGCACCATCTGTGGAACTGATGATTGCAAGGTAAATTGTAGACGTATTCCGCTTTGCCAATGGCCTCCACCTGACAAATGGCACAATCATGCCCCATATCTTGCTGATCATCGGTAGCGTCTCCGCCAGGTGCTTTGAATGCAACCAGTGGACACTGTTTCATGGCGTGTTCTTCCGCGTCGAATATGCAAGCTTCTTGGACCTCGAGAAAGCGGTACTGTTCCAGCATGAAGAGACCAAGAAAGTACACTGCGGGCAGGATATTTCCATTCATGGTGGTTGAAGTGATCCATAGGACATGCATCTAAATAGCCCAAGTCACTAAGATGCCGTAGTTGACAACCTCACAGGTTGTCACTGCCGTGGGTCTCCATTGCGAAGTAAACTGAGGGACCTGGACGGTATCGACCGTGGTGCACCAGTTAAGTCTCTTTATGTCGTTCGCGGCAATCGTGGTAAGTACGGGCGCCAGATTGATGAATTTGAGGTAGATCTGAGTATGATCACTCAGCTTGTGGTTGTCTGCGGAGAGCCGAAGCTCGTCGAACGCTTTGCACAGGACGTCGATTTTGCGAACCAAGGAATGAAGATGATAACGAATGGCATAGTCTGTCAGGCCTTTGGTTTTCGCGGTGATGCCAGGTGATATGCACAGAGAGAGCGCAGACAGACGAACATGTTCCATCATGGCCGCAACCATGTTGGATTGTCTGGAGAGAAAGCTGGCGGAGATGGAGACGAGGGGAGCCTAAAAAAAGAGATTTAAAACTGAGAAGATAGTAACGGATTAAAATGCAACAAAAGTATTAGAGATACGACCGTTAAACGATGCGAAAGAGGCTCAGGAGAAGACCAAAGGGAGATGAACGTACTCACTACGAAAGACATCTCTTCATTTACGAGGAAGGAGCCCTCCAGCTTCAATAGTAGCTGGAATTCATAGCGGCCTCCCTGGGATATTGAAGAGACTATAGTACAACCAGTTTTGCTTGGTCGGACGGCAGAACACTGGCAAGAGAACAGGTAAGACAAATTGGCGAATTGATTTCAAGAATCAAGACTGCAGATCCTCCTTCAGGTTCCATTTTGTGGTCGCCCATCCTAAACCCATCCTATCACCCTCTCCTGCATCCTCCACGCCGTGTATCATCACTAACCTGGCATTCTAGCAGAGATCCTCTGCCCCATTGTCTGGATGCCGACGGCCTTTTCCCCAACGCTGTATTGTCACCAGACGTATCCCTCTGTACCTTGCCTTTTTCCTGGCTAGCTGGATTCGCTGAAAACGCTTCATGACTGACTCGGTTTGGTTCCCTCCAATTTCCTCTCGTTGGCCAATGAGTGCCTTTTTTGGTCTTGCCCTGTTCTTGCCTGCTACAACATGGTCTGATCGACGCTTTGCTTCATTCTCCTTCTTCGCCCGATCGACTTTGGAAGTACGCACAGGCTCGTGACACACAGGGCACTGACCAACATTGTCAAGAAAGGCCGCCGCACACGACAAATGGAACCAGTGAAACTTGCTGCAAGGCAAGAATAGCAGTGTTTCGTGACAAGCCACATGCCTGGAACAGAGCATGCAATATGAACCCTCCTTTCCAGCAGCACCAGCCTCCTGAGCCCATTTTTGGAAATCAGCATTCTTGCGAAAACGCCTCCGGGATCTTAAGCGAAGGGGTATCACAGCGACAAGTGCCTCCCTACGCATGACCTGTGGGAGATTCTCGCGGATGTTCGCGTCCAATCTCTTGAGCATGGCCCCCAGGACCCGGAAAAGATATGCAAGCTGCTGCCAAACACCTGTAGGTGGATTAGCTGAAGTCAACAGCCACGAGAAAAAGACGACAAAGCCATACTCTGGATACCCAGGTGCCTTACAATCCGGCCGGTCACCATTGAGCAAGCCAGGACCGCGAACAGGGTAAAGTGAAAGTAAATAATTTTGCCCATTCTCCAAAGAAAGTGGACAGCCTTTGAAAAGATTCGGTGACCGGGTTGGATTCTATTTGTGATTAAATACCGATTCAACAACTTGAGGTTAAGGCAGAAGTGGTGGAAGACTTCGACGAAGCACTCGAGGTAGGCTCCGAGCCGATTTTGCAGGAACGTCCAAGGGGTGCGGGCCATGATCCCAGCGAGATCGAGCGAGAAGATGAGGATGCCCCGCGGAGAGCCGAACAGGCAAAGGGAGACAAACACAATGCAGGCCTGGATCCAGGTGGCCCACCAGCGGGTGAGAGGCACCCGAGGCGCCATTGTGGTGAACTAAGATGCCTTCAACAGGCAATTTTCCCTGGGAGACGAATGAAATGGTAAATCTGTAGATAAGAGAATGCAGACCTCTTGAGATATAATGTTTGACGGGCTGATGATCAAGATATATTGAATATGAGATCAAGCCGGCGGACCTTTAGATCCTGCAGTTTGAAGGACGCAAGTGCCATGTTCAACCGCTGTGCATAGCAGCACTTTGGAAGTTGCAACCGGCGCAAGAGAGTTGACATCGACGACATCATTGTGAGTGATCGAGCAGTGAGTTGGTTCAGAAGGCGCGCCCACAAGTCCAAAGTGCGACGGTGGTCCTTCTCTGGCCATGAAATGCTCATATATATATGTGTGTGTGTGGGAGTAAGGAGAACGATCCCTAGGTCGTGGACTTGAAGTTGGGAAGGCAAAGAAACTCACCCCTGGAGCCCTTGGAGCCTATCGCTATCGCCATGGCCACGTGATACGCGTCTCCTTGGTGCCTCCTCATCCCTGTCTGGATGACGGAATCGCCATCCTTTTGCATGTGAACAACGATCACCGTCCGCACAATCTCAGGTTTCCAGCAGCGTATATAGAAGACACATCACTAACACTGGGCTATCTTTGGAAAAGAATATCATAGACTCCCCAAATGGCTCTTCCGCCAAAATTCTCTGGCCAGCTCCTGGCCTCGGCCTCCAGCAACGAAGCGAAGCACACCATTGAACTCTACCTGGATTATGTCTGCCCCTTCTCCGCGAGGATGTTCAAGACGTTCTACAAGAGTGTTGCACCTGTCATTGAGAGGAAGTACACCAACCCTGGCGTCCGCGTCATCCTCCGCCAACAGATTCAACCATGGCATCCTTCTTCCACTCTGGTTCACGAAGCTGGTGCTGCCGTTCTGAAAACCGCTCCTGGCTCCTTCTGGGCATTTTCCGAGAAACTGTTTGAGCAACAAAAGGATTATTTCGACGTCAACGTGGTGAACGAGAGTCGAAATGACACGTACAAAAGACTTGCCAAGCTGGCCGGCTCCGTGGACGGTGTTGACGAGAAGACCATTCTGGACTTGTTGCTGGTACCTGACAAGCCAGACAAGGATGGCGGACTCAATATTGGGAACAAGGTCACTGACGATGTGAAGTTCATGGTCAAGGCAAACAGAGTTACTGGTGTCCATGTAACACCGACCGTCTTGTTCAATGGCGTAGAGGAACGCAGCATCAGTTCAGGTTGGACATTAGAGCAGTGGGAGGAGTGGCTGCAAAAGAACGCGAGCTGAAGGAGAGAGGCCAGACCAACAAAGACTCAATGCGGTTGTGACTTGACGACCAAAGGACGCGTGGAGATGAGGATAAGTAGAGTGCAAGTACAACATCCATTCTTTCTGGGTTTGAGCTGAAGCGGTGGTGGAACTGATGAGGCTATGCTAAACCTGATGGACCACCAACATCTTTGTGCTTAAATTCTTTGGCCGTCGCGGGATCCATTCATCAAGACATACACAAACTGGTAGTAAGCACGCTCGCTGAATGCACATTTGAACCCGGTTCCTGTGTTTCCGGAGAAAACGCCCTCCCAATGCTGCGCTAGTCGGAGAAGTGATTCGGGTGAAATTGTTCCAAGATCAATGAGTAGGAGGCTGGTATCCAATTGGTCGTCTACAGATGTCAGCACCTGGACAGATGAAAATTTTGCCCGACTTACTTGAACAGGAGGATATGCGGTTCTGGCTCGTGGACTTCATAGTGCTCCCATCCTAGACTCTTCATGATGCTCAGCCAAAATGTCACACGTACAAGACTGTCTCAAATACCTGTGTAATACCCAATCCTCTCCATTCTTCTTCCCATAGCAATTTCAAAGTGCCCTTCGAGTCATCAAAGTAGTCTCTCGGGATGACCTTCAACATGGCCTTCGGCAGTTGCACATGACGGTATTCGAATTCGCTGTCAGAGTATCTGGCGCATATCAGCCGGGGAACAATCCAAAAATTTGCCGTACACACCTCGCCGAGTATCCAATACTGTCAATGAATTCCTCCAGGCGCGCTCTTTCGGACTCAAGCAATAACCTGGGCTTCTTGTTCCGCCTAGTCACATCGATGTCGGTCATGGCGGGGGTGTGCGCAACGCAAGCAGTAATGCAGACTTCACCGGCCGACCACTTCTGACTCCGGAGACGCGATAAGGAATGGTGTGCTGGCGGCGGGCGGTACAAACGGGCGCGGTGCTCGGGCAGCTGCGGACAGGATTCGCGGAATGGTCTCGTGCTCTGGGTATGCAAGGGGTGTATCACGCGCAAGGAGAACGGGTAGATGACAGCCGGACGGAGCTGTGGAATGTGTCGCTGTGAGTGTTCGACTCGGAGAAGGCCGTTTCAAACCGGACTCTGGCGAGGGGTCGAAGCAGAAGATTGCGATCTGCCTCTGTGTTTGAAGTGGATAGTCCCAGAGGCTCGCCGAAGTAAACAGAGACCAGGGAGCCAAAAGCAAAGGCTGGCCAATGGGCTGGCCTATGGGAGAAGGTGCGGCTGCCAAGACGAGTCGGACAAACCAAGTGTGCCCGGTGAGCCAACTTCGGATCAGGCCGAGCACTTACCTAATAATCCGTTTGGGAAGCAAGTGTCACGTGTGCTGGGATTTCGCCCTTCGCTGAGAGACACCCGTCTTGCCCGTTCAGACGCTTGCGTGTGTCGCGTCCCCGTTGAGATTCTGTCACCCCCCAAAAAGACTGAACTCAAGGGCGAGCGATGGCAGTCTCGCCAGAGCGCATGCAACTCCCACTCCATTGAATGCTTTCGCAAGGGCCTCCTTTGCACTCATCGTCTCCCCAGCACCGTCTTCCTGCATTTTGCACCTGAATCCTGATGGTGGCCCCTCCTGCGCCCGCTTCCCTCGCCCAATCTCGAAACCTTGGTGAGCCCGCGAAATCATGAGCTCGAAGCGCAGAAGCGGCCCTGCAAGCGACCCCGACGACTTTCTAGCCACGCCTGATCCCAAGCGACGCAAGCGGAGCGACGTAAGTATTAAAATAATCCTCTCTCACTCGCCCAACTCCCAACTTCCACTTACCACCAATGCACTTCTCGACCGTGCGCAGAGCAGCGGTACCCCCGCCTCGTGCACCTCACGATGCGTGCAATGCCGCCTGCACTTGAGTTGACCGCAGTGCAGCACCGCATCGACCGCGTTCGCAGTGTTTGATGCATCTCGGCCGGGTTTCGCTAATCCAGCTGTCTCTAGGAAACCCATTTCCCTGAGGCTGAAACTCGAGAGACCACCACAGAGATTGGCTTGAGACTCGTAAGGCAATTGAAGAAGTCGCAAGACAAGAATGGCCGCAATGTCGCTATTCATTTCCTGGACCTGCCCAGCAGGGCCGAGTATCCCGACTATTATCAGCAGACTGCCATGCCCCTTTCCCTCAACATGATAGAGCAGCGGCTGGAGAATTTTGAGTATGAAAACCTGGAGAGCTTGGAGTCTGACTTGAAGAGAATGGTGCAAAATGCAAAGGACTACAACAATAGTCGATCTGCAATCTTTGAAGATGCGGAGCGCATACGCAAGGCTTTGTCCAATTTCATGCCAAAGCACAATCCAGCGTATCTGCGTCCAGACTACCGCGCTTACCCAACTCCCATCCCGCAAGAGCTGCTTGACCAGGTTCGACATCAATCGATCTCGTCAGAAGGAACCATGGCTCCGGAGAGGGTCAAGTTGGTGTTCCCAAATCCTGCGGCGCGGCGACGTCAAAGTCAGGCAACTCCATCCACCGACACCCTTGCTGAGACAAGAGAGGAAGTACGGCAAGAGCAGTTGAAGTTTTTGCAGGAGTTGTCGGAGCAGGAAGATGCAATGTAACTCACCCTATCGAACCTCTGCTGGTCGTGACCACAACAGACTGACATGTGTCGCATAGCAATTTTGAGGAAAAGGTCTCCAAGAAGGATTATCCTGACTATTACAAATGGATAAAGAAGCCGACGTCTATTTCCGATGTACGGGCTTTGGTAGAGAAAGACGCGATCCAAGATTGGGACGCTTTGGCGAAAGAGGTGCGACTCATCTGGGACAATGCAAAAGATTACAATCAGGAAGAGTCCGACATCTACCTGATGGCAGAAAAACTCGAGGTTTGTTTATCCGAACGCGCGTGAAGACAGCGATAACGTGACCACACGTGCTGATACTGTATTCATTTCTTCACAGGCCTGGTCAGAGTCCAAGATGCAGTCGCTTGGTGCTCAACCGCGTCGCAATCTCAAACTTTCATTGTCACAACCAAAGCCGAAGGCCCTGCGATTGACGATGGGTTCATCCACGCCTACGCGAAGCCTGGTCGGCGGTACCATCGACAGCGAATCTCTCCGGCGACAGAAGGAAGAAATGGGTCAAGCCTTGAGTAAAGTGCGGAGGGCGAGTTCCAAGTCCACGCAGGTCAATGGATCAACCCCAGTGCCTTCGAGTGCTGTCCCCAGTGTTCGTCGAAGCGCATCACTGGCCACAACTACTGAGCGAGCTGACACGACGACGGCCGAGGCCAAAGTCAATGGGACAACAAGCACTCCAGAACCTCAGGAAGATGCGAGAGCTTCACCACCTCCTGCGCAAACTCCAGCACAGCAGCTGCCTACGCCTGTCCAAGAAGTCGACGTAGATATCGCGAATTCATTGCCAGTCACGAATGGAACCGGTCACATCGAGCCCTCTGCACGGCAACAACCCAGCCCACCGACGGCCGCAAATCCAATGGTCTCTAGTCAGAATTACTTGAACCAATCTGTCATTCCAATGGAGCGACGGTATCGCGACCCTGGCAGAGGTAAGTCCTATCTTCCCCTTCATCCTGAGCTTTTCATCAGCATGAGTTGGCTAACACTGAGTCTTCGCTACCCTCTCAGGCTGGGACTTTGTCCTGCTCGGCTCCGTGACATTCATGACCAACCCTTCTTTGCCAAACGACCCACGCTGGAAGCTAGTTCGCTATGGCTCGGCCATCAAGACCCAAACGAGTGGTTTCATTGCCCTGCCTGCTCACTACCGCGACCTGCGCATTATCCCCAACACCACTCCCGAACTGGCCCGTCGTCGGCGTCATCGCATCTTTTTCATGCACAACTCCACCGTCTACAGAGAAGGCAACAGTAATCATGTGGAGGGGGCGTTCGAGGTTAGGCTTGTTCCAGGGGAGAATGTCCTTGTCGTGGAGGTGTTGGCAGATCTCAGAGATGGAGAGAAGAAGGAGTATGCGCCGAGTCAGCTGCAGTTCGATTTCGAGAGGTCCACCTTGATTGTACATCTCAACACGGCCTAAAAATATGGGAAGGTTGGTTTGCAATGAGATTAGGAAACATTTCTCTTGGTGCAAATGGCCTAAAAAAAGAACTGGAGGGGGGGTGGCCTGTTTTTCGTCCGAAGAAGCACACAGCACATGCATGGGATTGCATTGTAGTATGTGGTTTCTAGGACTTCAATGCCTGTACGGAGTATGTCTTAACAAATCAATGAAATTGCGAGTGGTTTGAACCGTGCGGTTCGAGTCCATGCAGTGGTAATCACAAGACGATACGCTTCATGTCGTAAGTTTTGATCGTACGGTTGATTCGTCTATACGGTGCCTTCGGCTGTGTGCAAGTTGGCTTGGTTCGCCCTTACCCTCGACTCAACCGAACTCCACCCCCCTTTTCCCCCGGGTTGCCATCTCATGGAAAAGGAGAAAATAACAAAACAGCAGCAGCCCCTATCCTATCCTACTTCGGAGCCCTGGGGCCCGCGACCCCAGCTCCAATCACACTGGGTAATTCCTCCGCTCCCATGCTGTATAACATGCCAATCGCGCCAGCGATTAACGCGGCCATGACTACGCCGAAACTCGCAAACAGGACAAACGGCACGGAGACGTCTTTCTTCTGGCACGCGTTTCCGCCCCATTTCACGGTCTTCTTTGTCCCGTCCTCGTTGACCCGGACGAGGGTGGACCCGCATCGGCATTTGTAGCAGTTGCTGTGGGCCTTGTAGCAGGAGCCATGGCCGGAGCAGGAATTTGTGGTGTTCTCACAAGCGGACAGCGAGGCGAAGCACGCAGGGATTACCGAGGGGAGTGTATAGTTTGAGGAAGTGTTGGCCGGTCTGATTGTGTCAAATTCAGAGACGGGGGAGGGGAGGTCGAGGCGTTCTTCTTCAGATTCCTGCGCTGCGCGGGCGGCTTGTTTGTGGCTGTGGGCCTTTTTCTTCTTGGGGATCTTGAGTTTGTTCGCCGGAGGAAGGAGGAGGAGTGTGGATTCGACGTTGTCGGTGGCGGAGAAGTGTTTGAGGATGCGGATCAAGGAGTTCAGCTGAGTCTTGACGCCCGACGGGTTGGTGGGCAGAAAACTGTGGAGGGAGAGAATGATCGGGATATTTGGGATTTCTGAAGCCGCTAGGCATCTTCCATTTTCGGCAGGATAAGTGAAGATGACCTCGACACCCTTGCTGTTGGGCGCATTGCGAGAGGGGGGAACTTCATACTCGCAGAGCCCGTCCTTCTCTTTGCGACTCCCGTCAAATACCGCCTTGAAATCGCTGAGCAGGTCCTTTGTTGGGTCTGAAATCCATAGATCAGGCATGGCGAGGTCAAAGTCCTTGATTTGCATATCAACCCCCGATATTCTGATGAACAGCTTTCCGGGCGCATCCTTGGGATGGCCCTCTCCAAACAGAGGTGCCTGATATCCTCCGTAGGTATTGAGGTCCTCAAGCAACATTGCGTCTGTGATGCCCAGGTACCGATCAGCGGTAAGGGCTCTTCTTCTCGCGATAATGGCGCTAGCCATTTCTGAGTCGATCATGCCCGTAGACGGGGTGGTGATGGAGCGATCAATGGTGAAGAGGTATGCGCCTTGGGCAGCGACATACTGTGCGAGTGCTGCACAAGGCAGGAAGGCTGATAGGGGCTTCATAGTTACTATCGCCCGCTGAGCTCAATAGTGAGCCGTTGATTATAGCTGGCAGCAGTGCAGAGCAAGAAACATATTAGGGAGAGAGGGAGTAGAGGCACGGATAATTGTTTCGACCTGGGGAGCTAGTTGGACCTTCAAGACCCTTTCACGTGCAACACGCAAGCGTGCAGCGACCCCCTCCCAAGTCACAACTCCTCCGCTTGCGATATTTCGAGGCTGCCTTTCATCGGTGGACTGACATCCTTTGATTTCAACTTCTGCGATAACATATCTTTCCTTCCATTCCCTGCCCCCTTCTTCCGCTTATTGATTGGGGAGAAGGCATTGTGCATGGAGTCAATGCCATTGGGGACGGCCAACATCCACCATCCATCAATACCTTCTCGCTACAATGCGACCTACTGATGCCTCGACCTATCCCTCCCTGCCCTCCCCATGCTTCGGTATCTATTCCGTAGCCCGCGGAGCGTTCGCGTTCCCCTTCAAAATGGACCAGTCGATCTTCAACGGGTCGCAATAACCAGAAGATCTAAATCCACGTATGGGTTTTTGCCCACAAACCGCACGAGTCCATTGAATATAGCTAAGAACTACAGGCCTATCTTTTACCGACTCTTCACTACCATTGCGCTTACCTACTGCGTTGCTAAGACAATTAACTATGTCTATCCGGACACTGCGCATGGCTCCGGGCCCCAAGTTGAATCTGTCAAGAAGACGCGCGAATCTCAAGGCCGGTCAAGATCGTGGCAAGAGCACTGGGACAAAGCCAATACCAATGGCTCGACAAACCAACCGGAAGTTATCCACTTGATGTTGCCGATTTGGATCCGCCGGACCAAGCCCTCGCCATGGGAGCCTGATGATCCAACCTGGAAGTCGATCCAGTCTCTCCACGCAGATACCAAACGCCTGCGTGAAATCACACGGGCGATCCAAGAATCTCTGAAACGGGAGGTGGTGAAAAAGTACGGTCGTGTTTTACTGGAGCTCGGCGGCAAGTTTGCTTTTCACGCTGGATGGAGACTGGCTCCACCTTTATATGCTCCCACAACTTATGAGGTCCCATGCATCTTCTTAGAGCCCGGCACGATCAACTATGGCTGGAGGCAGCTGCCAAATAGCGTGGGAGGGAAGATGGATCGTGTCTTTCATCCCATTGTGCTTGCTAAGGCCTTTTTCTATGGGTTTAGAGAATTTGCCTGGGCTTCGTATCTGATCACCAAGGCTCGACTGATTGATCAGCTCAACTCTCTCGGCGCCACCGTCAAAGACCCCTCCACGCCGCAGAATCCTCTCAGTGAAGATGAGAAGGCTCACAGGCGGCTGAGTTTTGGAAAAATATCTGAAAAGGACAAAACGTTCTGGCTTCCTTTTCTTCGCGGCGAATATGGTGAGCATGACTCAAGACGCGCCTACCGTGACCTTGTCAAGTCCATGACCTACCAAGGTGCAATCGAATCAGGATGCGCCGTGTTCCGAGCCTATTGGATTCATGGGCAGGAAAAGATCATGCAGTCGTACACTCGAGATAGCGTCCTTATGGTTGGAGAGATTGCCTTTGTGGGAGACAGAGGCACACTGTTTGTACATGCTGTGGCGGTATACTCCCCCGAGACCGACTCGCTCATTGGACCACCTATCCTCAAGCATGCGTACGTGGTCCCGGACAGAGAGAAGTGGGTGGAGGAGAAGGGCCCCAAACCTGATGAGAACGACTTGCTGCAAACTGAAAGACAGGAACAGACAAAATTGATTGCTCGAGAGGCTCTGAAACCATCAACAGAACCAGGCGAGGCGCAGAGGACGGGGAAGCCTCCTTCCGCCGAGGAAAATCAGGAGAAGAATGGTGAGAAGTGATTTGATATGCAACTGCTTTGGACACAGCGTAAGGCGTTACCCAGGATCTGCAGTGTAGGACAGCCTGCAAGTGCTCTGGGCTGGTGCCCTGGCCATGACTTTGACGACTTGACTTGCAAAGTATTAACCACGGAGGCTGCTAGAATGTGTTTGATGCCAAGTCGCTGCCTGTTCAAGTGAAGTGCTAGTAGTGACTTCTTCTCCTCTTGACTGCGGCGACTTCAGACCGATCACCAAACGCTAACATTGACCTCGGTCTTCGCAAACAGCAAGTCTCCCGAACACGTGCCACCAAAAGCCCTCTTACAATGCTGGGACACAGCCTCGGATCGAGCCTTGTCTCTATCTCTCTGTACTTCATCCTCAACCTCCTCGTCACCGTCACGAACAAGCAAATCTTGTCACAGGCATCATGCCCCTGGCTTCTCACCGCATCCCATGCGCTCACCACGTTCATAACCACGGCAGCGATTTTGCGCCTGCAGAAGCCCAAACTCACTTGGACCACTACGGCCACCTCTACATCTCTTTCACATTCTTTGATCCGAGAGAGACGCCTTGGTGATGACAACGATGAGACTGAACAAAGACGCCGAAATGGAGATGAGACCAGCGCCAGTCTGCTTGTGCACTTGCGGTTCCTGCTTCCCTTCTCTCTGCTTTACACCCTGAACATTGCTTTGTCCAACTTGGCCCTGGGCTTGGTCACTCTGACTATGCACCAAACCATTCGCGCCGTGGCTCCAGTCATCACTGTCCTGATCTCAATCGTCTGGCTTGGAAGATCTTGGCGAGAATATCCCTCAGGAGCGTACGGAGCCATCGGTCTCACGATATGGGGTGTGATTATTGCAACCCACGCTACATCCTCTGCCGGAGCCAGCGACAGGAATGTTCTGGGCTCGGCAACGACAACGACAACGGCATTTGGGTTCGGGATAACATTGCTCAGCGCCGTCTTGGCCGTGGTGAAAACGATTCTTACAAACGAGTTGCAGCGACCACCTCGCACCAGCCGATGGGGACTAGGTCTGCCCTCAACGAGGCTTGTGCAATATCTTGCTCTTTACGCTGTGATTCAGACGCTGCTGCTTGCCAGCTGGACCGGCGAAATCAAGGGTCTATTAACATCCGACACGGAAGTGGCACCCCCGACGCTAGGACTAAACCTGAGCAGTCGATCGCTTCAGATAAGATTGCCGTGGCCGTGGCTATGGCTCTTCAACGCCCTCGCCGCCTCGATGCTGAACCTTGCATCCTTCGAAGCGAACAAGCGGTGCGGACCCCTGAGCATGGCCATCGCCGCGAACATGAAACAGGTCGTCATCCTGCTGTTCCTTTTCATATGCTTCCGTCGCGACACTGCGATGCTGGAGATGTTGGGCGGAGAAAAGGAAAAGAAACAGGCAGGTGAGTTACGACAGTCAGAGACCATCGTCGTCCTCGGGTCCTTGATGACGGCCCTCGGGAGCATTTGGTACGCCTTTGTCTGTGTGCGGGTGAAAAAGAGGCAGCGGAGACGGTATCCAGTGGGAGATGATTGGGATTCTGACAGACGAGGCTGGAAGGGATAGAGGTTGCTGGAACACGACCTCATACCTACTTACGTACACAAGCAGTCCGAGAGCGCGGAAAAGGAACACTACGCAGCTGGTCTTTGAGTGAGAGGGAGGTTTCTTGGTTCGAGCAGGTCAGAGGAATCAACAAAACAACGCTAGGCGGCTGGTTCTTGCGAAGGGGATTTCCTTGGTTGGAGCAGATGAGAGGAACTGACAAGCCACGGCGCATTTCCTGTTCGACGCGAACTTCTCATGTCAATCGAAATCCCTACCTTGTTGGAAAGCTAGCTCCAAACACGGCGCAGCTTACTCGAAGGGAAATAAATCAATGGCAGAAGCGATACTTCATCTAGCCACTTTCTTTCCATTTCCATTTTGAAGTCTCCCGGGAGGGACGTTCGTCCAGTTTTACAAAGTGGAAGTGGCACACATGATACTTTTCTTTCCAAAGCCCATTGTTCCATGTCGCTTTTCGGCCCTTTTCCTGGTAAAATGTGCGTAGGATTCCTCGCCCAATTCTCCTTTTCCCGTAGGTTTCACAGGTGTAGTTACGTAAACACACCCACACGTCCCTCTCCATCCATCTTCTTCCCCTCTAGTCCACGCAACCTCGCAGACAGGGCCCTTCGTCAACTTCCACCTTGGGTAGCGCAGCGTCTCGTTCACCCACGATTTTCTTTCCCTCTTTTTGCTTTTCATCCCTCCAAAGCCTTCAAGCTCGCTTCATAAACCTTCTTGACCTCATCCTGGCCCTTCTTTACCACCTCCTCCATCTGCTTGTGCGCCTTTCGCAATTCGTCCACAATGACCAGTTTTCCCAACTCCATCTTCCGGAACCGCTTTTGCGCGTCGCTCCTCGCGTTCCGCACCTCTTGGGACGCACGTTCGAACATCTTTTTGGCCTCGGCGCGCGCGAGGTTGCGTGTCTCCGCTGTGATGGGCGGGACGGGCACGGTTATGAGTAAGTGGTTGGAGGAGGTCGGTGGGTTGGATTGAGAGACCGAGGTCGTGCCAGGAGTGTGAGGAGCGGTGGTTTGCGGGACGAGACTGTATGGACTTGCCAGCAGCGCTGATGCTATAGGCTTGACGTGCTATAATAAGAAAAGAAAAAGCTCGTCAGTACTGGGGTCTGGCTGGCACTGCGGAAAGGAACAGACAACCCAGCCCCATCGGCATCCAACGTGAAAGTAACAGCAAATACGGAAGCATAAGTACTCACGGCCTCTTCCGCACAGAATATCTGCACACTCCTTCCCCCCTTGGCAACGACACTCGCCAGATCTCCCACCTTGACCTTTTCCTTGTGCGGACTTCCTCTCCCCGTCTCCGCCCCCTTGACATTGATCTCCACGGGCAGCACCTCAATCATTTCCGGCGTGACTCTGCCCGCGTCTTTCGTCTTGACCAGCGCATCCTTTAGGCGCGAGACGGCCTTGGCGATCCCAGCCTCGAGCTCGGAGAAGTCGTAAGGATCGATTTCGCTGTCGCGGTTGCGCGTGGCTTTGTTGTCCGGGATGTGCACGGCATCTTTGTGTGTGAGGGAGTCGACGGACGGGGATTTTCTGGAGGATTTGGACGACGATGAGGATTTCTTGAGCAGTGATGGAGAGGTGGAGAAGGCTCTATTTGCCAATTGATGGGATTTTACGGAGACTGTCGACGGGAGTAGGCGTCTTGGTGGATAAGACTGAAGCAGTCGAGTTTGGCATTGGAGGCAGAGGGATCGCTGTGACGAGCGTGGCAGCCGATGCGAGGGGGGCAGTTGCTGGATGACTTGTGCCACATTTTTGCTTCGTGGAGGCATTTTCCCGGATATCTATACACGATTAACCAGGCTCAAAGTCCGTGAGAGTGGAGTTGTTTGGATTTCGCAGGGAAGTTCGTGCTCTGTTCCTACAAACTTCGAACTTGACGTTGGAGAAGCTGCAAGGTATGGTGACCCACTTGACGCGAAGGGATGGCAAGGCTACGAGGCTGCAGCCCTCAGGGGGTACCCTAGTCCATCTTTCAAAGCACGCAGAAAGAAACCCGTCCACACGATTCCCGCAAAGTCTTCCTGAACTTAGGGATATAAATCATACGCTTACTGATTTACGATTTACAGTCCGATGGGATATAAAAACTCAAATCTAAAGGGACGGCGTGTACATTCTATGGGGGAGTGACTAAGAATGCTACCATGCTACCTTCCAAATGTACGAGGCTAATTAAATGCCGTCGTGGTTGTGTTGTGCTTGGCAGATATGTTTCGAAGGAGCTTGGTTAAGGAATAGAGGTAGACCGATAACGCAAAATTGAAAGAGAGTCATCGTTCGTGGTAGAGCTACTCCCGAGAGATCAAACAGGGCGGTATTTGGAACCGTCGCAAACTACGCTCCAACGTAGATATAAAACTACATTCTTCGTACTGAAATTGTCTAAAAAGTATCGTTGCGGAAAAGGAAACAGTGTCTTCATTCTGATTTCGTGACGAAAACGAGATCGCCGCTCTATCTTAACACAAACTAAGGCAATAACATTTCCCTAGCCTTGTAGCGAGTCCGACCAGCAGATGCTAGTCTGATTGACCCGCCTGAGAACTATCCGAAAATGACGCCAGCCACATTTCTTTTGGATGCCATGCATAGTGTGATGAGGATGGGAGAAGTAGCACTCCAAGATCTTTTCGGGTCATTTGGTGCCTCGATCAAGAGTGTCTTGATACGTCCAAATGGTCGTCAACTAGAGGCCAGTCTACCTCGTGGCCATGGCCTTGGTCATAGCTCTCTTCAGAGCCAGCTCCTTCTTCTTCAAGTCATCTGGTGTGGAATCCTCCACCTCAAGTTGTTGCATAGCGTCGCTCAAAGCCTCCTCGATCTTGGCCTTGTTGCCACGCTTCATCTTCATCGACAATCCAGGGTCATTGATCAGCTCCTCCACACGACCGATGTAAGACTCGAGTTGCTGCTTAGCTTCGAATTTCTTGGTGAATGCCTCGTCGCTGGTCTTGAATTTGGCGGCGTCTTCGACCATCTTTTCGATTTCAGAGGTGGAAAGTTTGCCGACAGCATTAGAGATGGTGATGTTGGCGCTTCTGCCCGAAGATTTCTCGGTCGCGGTGACTTTTAGGATACCATTGACGTCGACCTCAAAGACAACTTCAAGAGCAGCCTCACCAGCTCTCATCGGCGGGATAGGAGCAAGCGTGAATTCACCCAGGGAGGTGTTGTCTTCGCAGTTTGTCCGCTCTCCTTGGTACACGGGGAATTGAACCTGAACTGATGTTAGCCTATGTCGAGGGGGAGGGCAGGAGAAACACATAAAGTTTGCTGGTTATCAACGACGGTAGTGAAGGTTCTATTGATAGATTAGCGATTGTAATGGCCACGGATGACACGCTGACGTAAATGAAAGATGCAGAAGCGATGGGTTGGCTGTACCGACAGCGTCGAAGTGTGGGGGAAGAACGCCATGCCAAGGGGGAGAATGCGTCCAAGGGATGAGGATGAAGACAACGGATAAACTTGCCTCTTCTTAATGCAGGGGACGGTCTGTCCACGAGGAACAACGGGAGCGAAAATGTTGCCTTCCATAGCCACCCCAAGAGAGAGGGGGACGACGTCAAGGAGGAGGAGGTCGGCAGTCTCGGCAGAGGTGGCCTTGCCGGATAGAATACCTGCCTGAACAGCGGCCCCGTAGGCAACGGCTTCGTCGGGGTTGATGCTCTATACAGAGTTAGCAGAAATCAAAACCAGCAAATGACATCACGTGCCTTTTCTAGCTTCTTGCCATCGAAGAAATCACTCAGCAGTTTCTGGATGCGAGGGATACGGGTTGAACCACCGACGAGCACAATCTCATCCACCTTTGACTTCTCAATAGCAGCGTCTTTCAGGACTTGTTGAACAGGCTCCAGAGTGCCGTTGAAGATCTTGGCATTGAGATCTTCAAAACGGGCGCGGGTGATTGTAGCATTGAAGTCCTCGCCGTCGAACAACGAATCAATTTCGACAGTAGCCTGTGTTCCGTTCGATAGCGTTCGCTTTGCGCGTTCGCAGGCCGTTCGAAGTCTTCGAAGGGCACGGGCATCCCCGGACAAGTCTTTCTTGGTCTTTCTTGTGAATTCCTTCTTGAAGTGTTCGAGGAGATTGGTGTCAAAGTCTTGACCACCCAAATGCGTATCTCCTGCGGTAGCCTTGACCGTGAAGACACCACCCTGGATGTTCAGCAGTGAAACATCGAATGTACCACCACCAAGGTCGTAGATGAGGACGTTTCGCTCCTTGTCTGATTTGCCGGACCCAAGACCATAGGCGATGGCGGCAGCGGTGGGTTCGTTGATGATACGGAGAACGTTGAGGCCAGCGATGGCACCGGCGTCCTTGGTGGCTTGTCGCTGGTTGTCGTTGAAATAAGCAGGCACGGTAATGACAGCCTTGGAGACTTTCTTGCCCAGTTTGGTCTCTGCAACTTCCTTCATCTGCGGCGCGAAGAATTAGTGGTTGACGGTGGTTCAGGCAGAAAGACGAGCGCCCTCACCTTCATAAGAACCATGGACGAGATTTCCTGTGGTGAGAAAGTCTTGGTCTCCCCCAAATATTGAACCTGCACCATGGGATTGCCACCCTGGTCAACGACCTTGAACGGCCATGATTCAATATCCTTCTTCACGGTCGGGTCATCAAATCGTCTTCCGATCAATCTCCTGCGCCACGGTTAAGAGGAACCCAGTATTTTCCAGGCAGATCGCACTGACTTGACATCAAAGACTGTGTTTTCCGGGTTCATTGCCGCCTGATTCTTTGCAGCCTCGCCAATGAGGCGCTCTTCGTCGGTGAAGGAGACGAACGAAGGAGTGGTGAAGCTACCCTGCTCATTGGCGACTGCGATGACGGTCAGTGTGTCACTTGGTTTCGCGGGTCGATGGCAAAGGCTGTCTTACTAATTTCGACATTTGTGCCTTCGTAGACGGCGACGCAGGAGTAAGTGGTACCTGATGGCTCTTTGTTAGAGGGCGCAGACGTCGGTGAGGGCGGGGAGCAAGCAACATACCCAGATCGATGCCGATGGCACCTTCGTAGACTTCGTCTGCCATGATGATTGGTACGAAAATGACTCCTCTTTGACCTACCCTGGCAGGAGTACACGAGAGCAAAGGCGAGACGTGGAGGTGTTGTAGGCAGAGGGCGGAATCAGCCTACAGCAAAGTCAACCCTTCGAGAACTTTTTAAGCCACGGACCACATAAATTTTCCAAAATTTTGGCCAAGAACTCGGTAAATCCACGGCCCACTTTGTCCTGTTTTGGGACAGATGTGATGCCGCCTTGTGGGCAGGCCGGCTCACGTGAGCTGGCGAGCTGGGTTTCGCGCGGGGCATCTCAGCATCTCTATGAAATTGAGCACCGAGAGGGTGCCAAAAGCAGCGCCACAGACCACACACTTCTTGACAAGCATAAGAAACTGGCGGGAGCTTTACCCGTAAAGGCATAGTGTCATCGCACCCGTCTTCCACCCCTTCACCGGCAATTGACTACAACAATTTCTTGCCTTCTCTGCAACTTTCAACACTGGTGGTGATCAGATCTCTAGAAGCTGTGACCTTCCTCCTGTATGGTCGGAAAGACGATGCCAAGTTCCTCCCTCCGAGTCTAATGCCAATGTATGATTGTAACTGTTGCACAGTTCAGATGATCCTCTCCCAAACGAATACAGATACAGATGCGGTATTGTGTGTAGCCAACGAAAGGAGCACAACGAGTACTCCGTGCTCTCCACTATCCCCTTACCAGCCCAATAGATATGGCAAACAGCCAAACAATATCTTGAGCGCCGTCTCGCAGTCCGAAGGCTCATGTTGAAACTTGCGCTACTGCATTGCCGACTCATTTCCCGCCAGCACATGCCCATCCTCAATGTTGTCGTATTGCCCTGGTTTGAATCGGTCCGGGAACCAAACAAGGAAAGCCGCCTGGACAATCCACATCGGTGCCGCATCAAAGACGTACATCGGCCACTCATTGGTTAGCAGATATGAATCCACGCCCATCACATACTCAACAACACGGAAGATTGATCTTAACATGATCAACGCGCTGCAGATGTATATCATCCTCAACCCCTGCCTCCAGGGGACAGTGGGCCTCAACCGGCACTCCTTGTCCACGTTTTTCTGCATCCTCACATGGAATACCAACGCAACAACAACGAACCATCCAAACGCGATCAACTGGATAAATAGGCCAACGACCACTATATATTTCCCCACCGTTTCAGTCTTCTTCTTGACCGTCAACCCAGCACCATTTCCCTGCACGTTTAGTGATAGGAAATCCGCCAAGACGAATAGCTTGGTCATCTTTGCGGGCCGAACAATGGAGAAACGCTCGCCGTGCACGCTGCGAATGAGGCGACCGAGCACCATGTATACGGAGGCGGTATAGAGGACGGGCGCCAAGAGGATGAAACAGCTCTGGACCGTGTAGGGCGCGATGAGATCAGTGCGGTAGTGAGCAAATACGCGGACGCCATAGCCGATTATCTGGACTGCGAAGAAAAACTTCAGTGACGTCCCCTAGGTGAGTCGAATTCTTTCCACAAGCCGCGAGCTATGGTAGAGATGTGAAGCCTAGAAAATACAACTTACACAGTCCACCGAGGGCGAAGGGGATGCAGAACCATGACCGGGTCTTCACCGTGCGCCAACAGAGGATGCCAGTAACGATTGTGAATAAGATAATGAATATGACTGCGGCCAGGACCGAGGGGAGAAATTTCCATAGGTAATAGTCCGTTCCGTCCACAGGTCTTAGTTGGGCCATAACTGTTTTGTGTGTTGATGTGTTGGAGGAGACGGTTGTCGATCGGGCGCCTCGAGACTGGCACAGACGATCCAAATCGGGCCGTGTATACAGGGCGAGTGTTCGGTGGGAATCAGATTTATTGCTTGACTAGGAGGAAGAGGTTGCAGTGGTCAGGTACGTACCTGCTGCTTCAGTCAAGAGAAGGGAAGTATATATATCGTCCATATATACCTGCACAACAGAACCGACCGTGGCCAAGCACAGATCCACCTCTGGTACTGCTGCAATACCCCTGGTTCTAAACCTCCGTACACGCAAAGCCCTCGTTTCGCAAAATCATTCCTCCCTGAAATGTACGAGTCTCTACCCAACCTACCAGATACGCTGGATGAGGCGGGTTTCGTTACCGTACTATTCCTCGAACGATCCACATCTACCTGCCCTGGGCCGCCTGTGGCTCTGAATTTGGCTTAGTGTACGCGTACACTAACAAGCGAGCAAGATTTGGGGTCCCGCACCGCACGCTGTGACAAGTTTGGCAGGCAGCCTTGTCGGTATTGTTAATTCCCGCCTTTGCTTTTGGAGATAATAGGGGTTGCCGAACGGCTGTGGCGTTTTGGGCGTTCTCGCTTCTGGCTGCACGTTTCAAGAAACATGACTACCTAGCCAATGCTACTATTCCGTGCATATCAGGCAGCAACGTTTTATTCTGCGACCCTGGAAAAGGACGATGGTGGATCCTACCTCGCCCTTAGTAGGAGATACACAGCACTCCATACCTCAAAGTCCGAGGCCTCGCGGTGCGATGCGCAACGTACTATGCGATGTCCCTGAATTATCCCCAAGTCTAGCCTTTCAAGGAGGAGTCCGAGTCCTCGTCGTCTCGAAGCGCCGCTCGTGGAAAATTCAACCACTCCTGCCAGCGGGAGTCCAGGCTCCTACCAATCGTGTTGATTAGAAAACGGCCGCTGTCGCCGAACAGCCACAGGTCCCGGCCCCGATGCAGGAGGACAGCATAGTGTGCGAGGATGACAAGGGCTTCCGCTCGCTTCTGCCGCAGCAGATCTACGTATTCGGGTGAAGCGAGGACCGGCCATGCAAGCACCGCAGGTACTCCGATTCTGGTCCCCGAGGCTGCACGCTGCGCATTGAACACGCGCTGAAGATGGAATATGGACTCCCGATACGCCTCCCGAGAGTACAGAGGGATTGTAGTATCTGAGGATGATGCACTTATCACATCCCAGAGTGCATCGCATTCTGATCCCCTCGCATCCACTGAGTCCATAAGGGCTTGGGTCAATTTAAGACGGGGTCCCAGTTCCGACTCGAGCAGCAAATACCAGCATTGGTCGATGACGGCGAGCATGCCACGGTAAACACTTAGACAATGTGTGAATCTATCAATGAAGCTTTCCAGACTGTCTCTTTGATAACGCAACGTCTCACACAGTTGATGAACGCCGACCCCGGACGAGAAGAGGAACATGTGAACGCAATTGGCCGGGGTCACTTCCAGGACAGGGTTAGCTTCGTTGAAGAGTGATATAGCACGGTTTTGTAGACCCGTGGCATGTCCACGGTAAAAGGTACGAGATCCCGTGGCCGTCGTGCTGAGTTGCAAGGCTGACGTCGCGAGCATTTGATGCATTAGATATGGTATACTAAGAGCATGTTGAGCGTAAATTCTGGTCGTCATAATGTCAGGTCGCCCTGATTCCTCGAAAGAACGAAATTTAGTGCTGAAGAGGTTGTCGAAGAGCTTAAGGTGATTCATGTTTATGTTGTAAGGGTCGAATGGCCCCTGGTTGTTCATTGTGTGTTCAGGCCATGGTGGTGGAGCCGGTGTCGATGTCCTGGTCAAAGAAGCGCTAGATGCTGCTACTCGTGTATGATGGAAAGCATGCGCGATATAGGGTGAGTCGCTCTCGAGAAAGGAACACCGTATCTCTGCTGACGCACAATTGACACATATCGGCAGGTTTTCGTCGCACTTCCAGATGTTGTCAGTCTCGACTTAAAGGTCGATATCGTAAGTGGACGCACTTTGATATGCCGTCTTTTGCATTCCAGACACCCATTTCTGGACTTCTTGTGATGCCGACGAGACATAGATCGATCAGTAGGACATATGTGAATGACCATCAGTGTCCTCTGAAGTATTTTAGCCTTCTGAGGGTGACTTGTGGCTCTGGAGAGAGGGAAGGGGCCATGAGGCTTTTGTATACTCACCTTCAGGAAACGGCGGTGGTGCCGATGGTGGCTTGGCGGTGAGTGAAAATGAGCAAAATGCCAGCTCGAGGATCACACATACATACAATTCTCGATGCACAGATCCAATGACAGATCCAATTGTAGAAGTGAGACATGGAACACAAGGCATCGAGCAGAAGATCAACAGAGGGACAGGGAAGGTACAGCGAGTGTTGCCTGGAGAATCGCCCACTCTTGGCCACTAGGCCAACGTCAAAGCATCAGTCCATTTTGCTCCCAGTGATGGCGGCTACCCACCAGCACAACTGGTCTGTAGTTGCTTCACGCAAGAAGGCGGGTGAGAAAAAAAATGGAGCATGGTTCCGTGGCGCAGTAATGTGTGCTGCCTGCTTCATTGGGTATCATATTCCAGTGGTTCCATAGCGCCGCTTCATCAGTCATTCCTTGCCTGGCATCGTCTTGACCGTTGCAGATTACCATCCATCCTTGATATCACCTTTTCCTCAATCCAGAACACCACTTTCTCTTAACCCAGCAAGCAACTCGGGCTCTAGGAACCTCTTAACGTCCACATCCTCGCTCAACCCTTTCCTCCGTCTTGTCTTCAGCACAAAGTCTCTTGCCGCTTGCTGAGGCGCAGCCATCTCCAGCGGTCTTACGCGGACACTCTTATCCAATGGATCCCCGGGAACGACATCCCAGCGGTCAAAGACCAGTGAGACACTAGCTGCTCCTTGACTGTGGATCCGCAAGTCCGTCTCAAATCCAAAACTGTCAATCACGGGAAGAAGCGCTTTGGCTGCGTACAGTGGCGTCCCTGCCACAGGCCCATCAGAAACGACATGTCCACGCCTCTTCATCAGCACTGTGTAGAGGCCAGAAATCGAATCAGCTGGACCAGTCATATGGACGCTGTAAATTGGTTCCATCAGTCGAGGACTGGCCATCAGGAAGGAACTGTATACCGCTCGTCGTGCGGTCGGTATGATTTGCCCCCCTCCTCGGAAAATAGGCTCTGTCGCTAGCTCGGCGCCAGTAACTCGGAATTTGGTGTTGCGGATTGGTTCTTCACACAATGGT